GAAGTAGAGTTCGAAATATGGTTACAGATACTGTGATGATGTCTGGATGTTTCGGTGTTAATGTTTCCCTTGCTGAAATGTTGATCTCTCACATTTAGCTTGCCCTTGAAATAATGTCAACGCTGGCCCTCGAAAAAATCTTTAGCAATTTAACTTTAGGTATCATATTTGAAGAATTTTGAGGAGTGGTGATGAACTTGGATGGATAGCTTTTCTTGTTTTTAACGTTATAATTTAGTTTTTCGCCTGACATGGCAAGTGAGTTTGTAATTGGTATAATTTCATCTACCTATAAGTGTTGCTTAGATTGAACATTCATATAGCAACATGCTAACGTTCTACTGAAGGGGCGTATACTTATTGGAATTCTTGTAGAATGAAGTTCCCTTACCCTTATGAGTTGCAGTTGAAATTATGGACAAATGTTTATTGAAGTTTATATCTGAATTACTTGCAGAGTTTCTAGGGCAGAAGAAAGCCAGGATATGGAGAGTGAGTGATTGGGGAATGCGAAGACTAGCATACCAAATAAAGAAAGCGAAGAACGCTTACTATGTTTTGATGAACTTTGAGATGGAAGCCAAATGGATAAATGACTTCAAGACCATGCTAGACAAGGATGAGAGAGTCATTCGGCATCTTGTGATCAAGAGGGACGAGGCAATCACAGAAGACTGCCCTCCTCCTCCCGAGTTTCACACCCTCGGTGGAGGTACAGATTCTGATGAAGAAGAAGAGGATGATCTGGAGTATGATGACGAAGACTATGAAGAAGATGGGATTATTATTGTCGACGCTGACAATGATGATATAGAAGATAGGGAACAAGGAAGGCTAGAACAACTAGTGTAGGAAAAACAGGAATGATAAGAAAACTGAGGGCAGAGAAATTGAGAAGTGTTTTTGTATAAATTTGTGTAAAACGTTTAAATTTGTAGAAATCTTTTACAATGTGTTTGGATGAGGAAATTCAAGATTACTACGGAGTTTCAAAGCGATAGAAATAGAAATGACAGAATTTTTTTTTCTAAAATTTGTGAATTTTCTTGTTTGACTAACTTAAAATAAAATGGAATTTGAAAAAAGATTTTATTTTTAAACTCTCACTCACAGAAATTTGAAAATGATATCTATTTACATGGAATTTAAACTTCGGAAGGTTCCAAATCTAAGTTTTTTTTTTTTTCAGACGGAAATTCTAAATTTCTATGCTTATGAATCTAAATAGGGGAATTAGTGTATCCTAATTTCTAAATTCTAACTTTTGTCAAAATTCTCAAGTTTTTTTCCCTCAGTTTAGAGTAGTATTACATTTATCATCTATTTGTATCATTTCTTTAATAGAGGTAAGGTCCACTAACACAAGTGGTTAAATTTTTAAGTAAACTACCGTTTGACTCCCTAAACTATTACTACAGTTTTACACAACGAACCATTTCACATACATGTCATTACACATTATTATTATTTTTTAGTACAATAAACGTTATATGTGTCCACATATCATAATTTTATTGGTGGTTATAAGTGACATATAAGAATTGATGATAAAAAAAAAAAATTAATTTGCCCTTAAATTTGACAGAATAGTGGAAGGAATCTAATGGCAAGGGGAAATTGATTTTTTTCAAATAGTTCAGGGGGTTAATTACCATTTAAGGGTCAATTTCAACTAGAATAAGAGTTCAGGGGGTCAAACGACAATTTACCCTTAATTTTATGTGTGTAAGGCTTTGTTTGGTGTCTAGTTAGGATTGGATTGAAATGGATAACCTATTTTCCTATTATATTTAATGTATGCAAAAGTGAGAAATGAAAACATTGTGTACAACTTGAATGAACAAGTCCATCTTATGGATCATGAATCATCCCCCGATCATCAGCCACGTACACCCACCATGCATGCAAAGACAGACGTTCTCATGAGATTTTTCTTTCTTTCTTGTTTCTTATTTTTATCAAATGTGCATTGAACTCATGAGCTCAACCGAATGCTATATAAATGAACAAGTCCATCGCTTACTGAGACATACTCAAAGGTTCAAAGCTGTATCAAACATGGCTACATTTTTTTTGTGCCACCATCGCCATTGCTGCCTTCCCGTCCTCCTCCCACTATCTTGCTCTTCCGAATCGATATTGGACCACCACCACCATCACGATGGATCCTCCACTGCCCCGCAATCGGATGTCGATCTTTTGGAGTTTTCATTGAATTTAGAGTGTTTGGAAGCTGAGTTCTTTTGTATGGTGCTTTCGGGCATGGCTTGGATACAGTTGATCCGAGCTTAACCCTAGGAGGTCCAACTCCCATTGGTGCTAAAAGGGCACATTTGGACCACTTCACTAGGGATGTCATCGAGCAATTTGGATGGCAAGAAGTAGGAGACTTAAGGTTCAATCTTCTTTCCATATTTTTCCCCGTAATTTTCATAATTTACAAGAGAAGTGATTTTCGCACACTTCTTTTTAACTTTTGTATATCCGAGTCTCCGACCATGTTTATTTTTAGCATTTAGATCCGATGGATGAAAAAAAAAATTAAGAAACAAAAATAACAAGATGTAATGATGTATAGAAGGAGAAATGAGCGTGCATAAATCATTTTTCTTTTACAAATGCTACATAATTAGAAAGCTTTTCTAAAATAATTATATGTTTTTTAATGTGCAGAGCCATTAAGAAAACTGTGAAGGGTTTCCCAAGGCCATTGTTGAATTTGTGCAGAATCATTTGCTCATGTGTTTGATTCTGCATTTGGGAGTCCCTTAAATCCACCACTTGACCCTTATGCCAATTCAATCAACTATCTCCTTTCATCCTATTTGATTCCTTATGTTGGTCTCACTGGCTATGTTGGTGCAAGCCCTAAGCTCCAAGGGGCTACTTCCAAAGGGGTAAGCTTCAAACACAATACCATGAATTGAAAGTATTATGTTAGATAATTATCGTGTTTTTAGCATGTGAATCTCGACCTCACATTATGACAAGAATCAACATGATTCATCGTCCAAATTTATAGTCTTGACATTTGTTCAGAAAAATAAGTCTAGCGAGAGAACGTTACCTTGAAAGCATAACCAAATTTGTTACTCTTCACATACTATCGTGAACTGAATGTGCATGTTGGTCCTGTTCAGCTAGTTGCAGGTCTTTTGGGCGTGGAATCAGGGCAAGATGCACCGACGGCCGGATTGCTAAATCTTATTTGAAAAAGGCATAGGACTAGTTTCGTTCCCATTCAGTTTACCCTGTTCCGAAAGTTTTTTTTTTCCTAGCTAGACAGAATAAATCGTGTTCTTAAATAATTTGATCTAAGGAATTGTTTCAGGCTTCATTTTGTTCGCATAATATCAGATTACAAGGGAACTTGACAAAATAGACACGACAGAAAATGCAGTAAGAAAACACTATATGATGAGAAATTTTTCATTGTGATTGGAACATAGATGATAATGGAGATGTTAAATTTTAAACATAAATTTACAATTTGACACCCTACGTAGTACTTTGATATCTTTTAAAGTTTTGGTCTCTACCCGACATGTCAAATTAAAGTATTATTTTATTACATTGTTTTCTTTTCTTAATTTCTGTTTTATATTTTAAGTTTTAAATATATAAATAATCCTTTACTAAAACTAATCGCCTTCTATTGATGTCAAGAACACAGTATCCATGGTGGACATTCATACCTTTCATGGTTAGTGGCCAGGAGAAGTAGAAGTCGGAGAACTCTGAAAAGCGAAGGACGTATATAGTTTACTGTACTCTTGCTCCAGTTTTTTCTTTTTTGCCGATGTCTTTGCTTCAAGATAGTTTCCTGGACTCTTGCTTCAAGATGTGATAATCCAGATTAAACCAATAAAAAATTAATAAAAAACATTTAATAATTAATAAAAAAAATTTTGAAGTAATTTGACAGCAACTCTGTCTGCTGCTATTCTATGTCATGCCACATAAGAATTGGCATTTCGTTTGAAAAACGTATTTATTTTTTTACAGTTTGTGGGCACCATCCTCCCTATTATTCTTACACAATGCCTTCAACAGAGTGTTACAAGCGTACACATTTGGCTCCATCCCATCGTTGTTCATATTGCTATATATCGGATTAATCATCTGACAATGATGATAGAGAAGAAGATAGGGAACAAGGAAGGGTAGAACAACCAGTGCAGGAAAAATAGGATGGATAAGAAAACAGAGGGCAGAGAAAGTGAGAAATGCTTTTGTATAAATTCGTGTAATGTTTAAAACCATAGATTAAATGTAAATAGATGGTAGCATATAAAATCTTTGTTTGGATTTGTCTTTTAGGTTATTTTATATGGGAATTGTTATTAGCACTTTAAAAATCTCATTTTGCACTCCAAACTTTCTATAATTAGAAAGAAAATTACACATATGAGGAGTGTAGAATGAGATTTTTGGAGTGCTAATAACAATTCCCCTTTATATATTCAAAGTGTTTTAGCTAAAACTGTTGATTTGATTCCCATTTAAGAGGCTGGCATACAAGCAGATATTGTTGTTACTGTAGCAGTGAAAAAAATCATGCTTATGCACTCTGTGTGGGTTTCGATCTTCATCGATTCATCTTCCGCCTAAGAACTAATTATTTCACCCACTAACGTGTGAAATATAATTACGTCTATATACCTTGATATGGGTTCACTAGTACAAAAACATGTTTGCGCGACGCAGCTAAATGCGTCGCGCAAAGTATGTTTGCGTGACGTTAAACACAAAACGTCGCGCAAATGGCGTTTGCGCGACTGCACTTTGCGCGACGAAGAAATGATAGAGAGAGATGTTTCTCATATCTAGTGCCTTTATCACAATCACACTATGTGAAATTTTAATTACAACATGGCATATACTATCATAACGCTGGATGTTAAGTCATTCTACAAATCTTTAAATCCTATTCATAAAATCTTGTTTTTTGTGTATTATAAAATATTTTATGATATAACCTCATTAAGTTTAGACACAAAATTAAGCCGACACTCTCTAACTAAGTTTGGTCAAATTTTATGTGTGTAAGGCTTTGTTTGGTGTCCAGTTGAATTGGAATAGACAACCTAGTATCTTATTACATTTAACGTACGCCGAAGTGAAAAATGAAAACATTGTGCTCAACTGGAAGGAGAAGATAAATTACTAATTTTAATAAAAAAAATTAAAAATTAAAAAAAAAAAAGGCCTTTACAATTCCATTTCTCCTAAAAAAGTAGAACTAAAATGATAAGTTTCCTTAATGTCTAATCCACCTCTCAATTTTTTTTAAATAAAATCGAATATAATGAGTTGTCCATACTAATCATACAAAATCTAAATATTTATATTTGTTAATATTCATTCCAAACGATGTCGAACATAAAATAGTACTTAAGAAAGTAATTTGTAGCAAATGTCGCAACTTGAAATCGTTGTTATCTCTTATGGATCATGAATCATCCCCGATCATCGGCCACGTACACCCAGCTTGCATGCAAAAACAGACGTTCTCATCAGATTTTTCTTTCTTATTTTTCTTATTGTTTTTAAATGTGCATTAAACTCATGAGCTCGTCAGAATGCTTTATAAAATGGACAAGTCCATCACTTACTAAGACACACTCAAAGCTGTAACAAACATGGCTACATTTGCTTATGCCACCGCCATTGCTGCCTTCCTCATCCTCCTTCCACTATCTTGCTATTCCGAATCGATATTGGACCACCACCACGGCGACCGCTCCTCCTCCGTCCCGCAATCTGATGTTGATCTTTTGGAGTTTCCTTTGAATTTAGAGTATTTGGAAGCTGAGTTCTTTTTGTATGGTGCTTTCGGGCATGGCTTGGATACAGTTGATCCGAGCTTAACCCTAGGAGGTCCAACTCCCATTGGTGCTAAAAGGGCACAGTTAGACCACTTCACTAGGGATGTCATCGAGCAATTTGGATGGCAAGAAGTTGGACATTTGAGGTTCAATTTTCTATATATTTTTCCTCGTAATTTTCCTAATTTACTAGAGAAGTGATTTCCACACACTTCTTTTTAACTTCTGTATATCCGACATAGTTTATTTTTAGCATTTGGATCCGATGAATCAAAGAAGAATTAGGTAACAAAAATGAACATGATTTTGAAGGCAAAAATGAGCATGCACAAATCATTTCTTGTTTACAAATTAATGCTACATAATAGAAAGCTTTTCTAACGTAATTATGTGTTTTTTTGTGCAGAGCCATTAAGAAAACAGTGAAGGGTTTCCCAAGGCCATTGTTGAATTTAAGTGCAGAATCATTTGCTCATGTGTTTGATTCTGCATTTGGGAGTCCCTTAAATCCACCATTTGACCCTTATGCCAATTCAATCAACTATCTCCTTGCATCCTATTTGATTCCTTATGTTGGTCTCACTGGCTATGTTGGTGCAAGCCCTAAGCTCCAAGGTGCTACTTCCAAAAGGGTAAGCTTCAAACACAATACCAAGAACTGAAAGTATTATGTTAGATAAGTGTGCTAGAATGTGATCAATCTCGACCACATATTGTGACAAGAATCAACATGATTCATCGTCCAAATTTATAGTCTTGGCATTTATCCAGAAAATAAGTTTAGCGAGAGAACGTTACCTTAAAAGCATAACCAAATTTGTTACTCTCTATCACCTACTATTGAACCTGAATGTGCTGTTGGTACTGTTCAGCTAGTTGCAGGTCTTTTGGGCGTGGAATCAGGCCAAGATGCAGTGATTCGAGCACTGCTATACGAGCACGCAAACCTGATAGTGAAACCGTATGGTATTACAGTGGCCGAGTTCACAAATCGTCTTTCGGATCTAAGGAATAAGCTAGGACGCACAGGTTTGAAAGATGAAGGCCTTGTGGTTCACGAATACATAGGCGCTGAGGGAAAAATTAGCGGCAACATTCTCGCCGGAGACAAGTACTCAGTTGCATATGACAGGACTCCAGAGGAGATCTTAAGGATCGTATATGGTAGCGGCGATGAACGTGTCACTGGCGGTATCTACCCTAAAGGAGCTGACGGCCGGATTGCTAAATCTTATTTGAAGAAGGAATAGAACATGAACAAATAGGACTAGTTTGGTTGACATTTAATTTACCCTGTTCAGAATGTCTTTTTCAAAATAAAAAATAAAAGTAAATCACGTTCTTAAATAATTTGATCTAAGGAATCGTTACAGGTTTCATTTTGTTCGCATAAATCCTTCGATTTTTGTTCGCATAAAATCAGGTTACATGGGAACTTGAAAAAGTAGACAACAGGGAAAATGAAGAAAACACTCTTACGATATGTTGCAATACTTGCATCTGCACTGCAGCCAAAATTTTCTATTCACAACTCACGAACATGATTCATACATAAGTGAGCAAATAACACGGATTACATTTTCGACCAAAAAGGAGTACGAAACTATGGAGATTACATGCAGAAAAACATTAGCACATTGCTACAACAAGAGCGCAAAGCGACATGCCATAAGAAAAAAAGTTAAAGTTCAGTGACATGTTGCAGCATTTCTGGGGAGCATGGTGCGTTGGCTTTTGCCTCCATCAGGTTTCAGGCAATGCAATAGTTCCAGTGCAGACCGAAAATTGCTGCTGCATCATTTTTCCATGGCCTCCAAGGTGTACAACTGCACTAACAGCTTGCTCAGACTTCTGGAAGCAAGGGATGAGTGTATGAGCTACTTCAGATATTCACAGGTAACCAGACTTTAATGTGCAAGCATGTCTGTAGAAGTCGGAGAACTTAGAAAGAAAGGGAGAGGGGTTGTTCGCATATTTAATTTCTTTGTTAATGATTTGTAATTCTGAAAAGCGAAGGACGTATAGGGGGCGTTTGTTTGCCCTCACTAAGTTGGACTGGACTGGACTGGACTAGCTATTAGTTCAATACTGTGTTTGTTCCATGCTGGGACTAACATTAATGAGACTAAAGAGGACTAGCATGGACAAAACCCTTCACTAAGGGGTCTTAGCGAGACCCCCCAATAACCATGGGACTAGCTAAGACTATCCTCTCTTTCTCGTCCTCGTCATGCTCAACGATCACTCCCGACAGACTCCTCGTCATTTCTGGTCACCTAGATCAATCATTAAATTTCCGACTCTCTTTCAGATCCATTTCACAACCAACTTTCATATAAAATATACCAAATTGAAGCTGGGAGTGACAAGATTACGATTTTACCTGAATCGAGGCTAAAATGTGGTCGAATGTGGTCGGAAAATGGCCTGGAAGTCTCGACCTATTTGGGCTTCTTCAAATCCATGACAGATTCGAGCATTCAAAGCTAAGATCTTGGTCTAGGGATGGTGATGAATTTATTGGCGGTGTTAACTTCATCCAATTTAACGAGGGTTGTCCGGAAAACACATTGGGAAACCTGCAACCCGTCAGGAAAATTGAAGCCGTGAGGTTCCGTTCGAACAACGCATAGCTAGAGAGGGAGGGAGGACAGAGAAATAGTCAAATAGAGACTGGAATCAATAAGGAGTTTGACAAGAAATGAGAAAGAGACATGAATTGAGAGGTCTAAGAGGAAAAAAAGAGGGAGAGGGTGGGACGATGAGAGAAGAGAAAAAGAGTGGGATGGAAATGGTAGGAAAAGATGGAGAAAAAGATAAGATCATAATAAAATATTAATAATTTATATATTAAATAATATAATATTAGAATTTGTTATTATCCAGCTTCTTAGTCCAATACTGCACCAAACGCTTCACTAAGTTAGTCCAGTTTAGTTTAGTCTAAGCTAGTCCAGCTTAGTCCTTGAAGCTAATCCAGTCCGAGATAGTCCGGGACAACAAACGCCCCCTGTACTCTTGCTCCAGTTTTTTCTTTTTTGCCGATGTCTTTGCTTCAAGATAGTTCCCTGGACTGTTGCTTCACGATGTGATAATCCAGATTAAACCAATAAAAAATTAATAAAAAACATTTAATAATTAATTAAAAATTATTTGAAGTAATTTGACAGCAACTCTGTCTGTTGCTATTCTAAGCCATGCCACATAAGAATTGGCATTTCGTTTGAAAAACGTATATTTTTTTACAGTTTGTGGGCACCATCCCATCGTTGTTCATATTGGTATATATCGGATTAATCATCTGACAATGATGATATAGAAGAAGATAGGGAACAAGGAAGGGTAGAACAACCAGTGAAGGAAAAACAGGATGGATAAGAAAACTGAGGGCAGAGAAAGTGAGAAATGCTTTTGTATAAATTTGTGTAATGTTTAAAACCATAGATTAAATGTAAATGGATGGTAGCATATAAAATCTTTGTTTGGATTTGTCTTTTAGGTTATTTTATGTATTCAAAGTGTTTTAGCTAAAACTGTTGATTTGATTCCCATTTAAGACGCTGGCATACAAGCAGATATTGTTGTTACTGTAGCAGTGAAAAAAATCATCTTTATGCACTTTGTGTGGGTTCGATCCTCATCGATTCATCTTCCGCCTAAAAACTATTTAACCCACTAACACGTGAAAAATAATCATGTTTGTACCCTAATATGGGTTCGATGTTGTGACCTAAAACTTAGGTAGAGAAACGACAGAGAAAGATATATTTGTCATGTCTAGTGCCTTTATCACAATCACACTATGTGAAATTTTAATTACAACATGGCATATAATATCATAACTCTGGATATTAAGTCATTCTACAAATCTTTAAATCCTATTCATAAAATCTTGTTTTCTGTGTATCATAAAATATTTTATGATACAACCTCATTAAGTTTAGACACAAAATTAAGCTGACACTCTCTAACTAAGTTTGGTCATACCACCATATATGTGGAACATACCTGCATCAGTGAATGTCAAAGGTGTGGTTAAATTTTATGTGTAGGGCTTTGTTTGGTGTCCAGTTGGATTGGAATAGACAACCTACTATCCTATTACATTTAACGTACGTTAAATGTCGAAGTAAAAAATGAAAACATTGTGTACAACTGGAAGGAGAAGATAAATTACTTATAAAATAATAATAATAATAATAATAATAATAATAAATAATTAAAAATAATAAAATAACCTTTACAATTCCATTTCTCCTAAAAAAAGTAGAACAAAAATGATAAGTTTCCTTAATGTCTAATCCACTCTCAATTTTATCTAGATAAAAAATCGAATATAATGAGTTATCCATACTGATCATATAAAATCTAAATATTTATATTTGTTAATATTCATACCAAACGATGTCGAACATAAAATATTACTTAGGAAAGTAATTTTTAGCAAATGTTGCAACATGAAATCGTTGTTACCTCTTATGCATCATGAATCATCCCCGATCACCGGCCACGTACACCCAGCTTGCATGCAAAAACAGACGTTCTCATCAGATTTTTCTTTCTTATTTTTCTTATTGTGTTTAAATGTGCATTAAACTCATGAGCTCGTCAGAATGCTATATAAAATGAACAAGTCCATCTCTTACTAAGACACACTCAAAGCTGTAACAAACATGGCTACATTTGCTTATGCCACCGCCATTGCTGCCTTCCTCATCCTCCTTCCACTATCTTGCTATTCCGAATCGATATTGGACCACCACCACCACGACCGCTCCTCCTCCGTCCCTCAATCGGATGTCGATCTTTTGGAGTTTCCTTTGAATTTAGAGTATTTGGAAGCTGAGTTCTTTTTGTATGGTGCTTTCGGGCATGGCTTGGACACAGTTGATCCGAGCTTAACCCTAGGAGGTCCAACTCCCATTGGTGCTAAAAGGGCACAGTTGGACCACTTCACTAGGGATGTCATCGAGCAATTTGGATGGCAAGAAGTTGGACATTTGAGGTTCAATTTTCTATATATTTTTCCTCGTAATTTTCCTAATTTACTAGAGAAGTGATTTCCGCACACTTCTTTTTAACTTCTGTATATCTGACATAGTTTATTTTTAGCATTTGGATCCGATGAATTAAAGAAGAATTAGGAAACAAAAATGAACATGTTTGAAGGAAAAAATGAGCGTGCACAAATCATTTCTTGTTTACAAATGCTACATAATAGAAGGCTTTTCTAACGTAATTATGTGTTTTTTTTGTGCAGAGCCATTAAGAAAACAGTGAAGGGTTTCCCAAGGCCATTGTTGAATTTAAGTGCAGAATCATTTGCTCATGTGTTTGATTCTGCATTTGGGAGTCCCTTAAATCCACCATTTGACCCTTATGCCAATTCAATCAACTATCTCCTTGCATCCTATTTGATTCCTTATGTTGGTCTCACTGGCTATGTTGGTGCAAGCCCTAAGCTCCAAGGTGCTACTTCCAAAAGGGTAAGCTTCAAACACAATACCAAGAACTACAAGTATTATGTTAGATAAGTGTTTTAGAATGTGATCAATCTCAACCGCATATTGTGACAAGAATCAACATGATTCATCGTCCAAATTAATAGTCCTAGCATTTATCCAGAAAATAAGTTTGGCAAGAGAACGTTACCTTAAAAGCATAACCAAATTTGTTACTCTCTATCACATACTATTGTGAACCTGAATGTGCATGTTGGTCCTGTTCAGCTAGTTGCAGGTCTTTTGGGCGTGGAATCAGGCCAAGATGCAGTAATTCGAGCACTGCTATATGAGCACGCGAACTTGATAGTGAAACCGTATGGTATTACAGTGGCCGAGTTCACGGGTCGTCTTTCGGATCTAAGAAATAAGCTAGGACGCACAGGTTTGAAAGATGAAGGCCTTGTGGTTCACGAATACATAGGCGCTGAGGGAAAAATTAGCGGCAACATTCTCGCTGGAGACAAGTACTCAGTCGCATATGACAGGACTCCAGAGGAGATCCTAAGGATCGTATATGGTAGCGGCGATGAACGTGTCACTGGCGGTATCTACCCTAAAGGAGCTGACGGCCGGATTGCTAAATCTTATTTGAAAAAGGAATAGAACATGAACAAATAGGACTAGTTTGGTTGACATTTATTTTACCCTGTTCAGAATATCTTTTTCAAAAATAAAAAATAAAAGTAAATCACGTTCTTAAATAATTTAATCTAAGGAATCGTTACAGGTTTCATTTTGCTTGCATAAATCCTTCGATTTTTGTTCGCATAAAATCAGGTTACATGGGAACTTGACAAAGTAGACAACAGGGAAGATGAAGAAAACACTCTTATGATATGTTGCAATACTTGCATCTGCAGCCAAAATTTTCTATTCACAACTCACGAACATGATTCATACATAAGTGAGCAAATAACACGGATTACATTTTCGACCAAAAAAGAGTACGAAACTATGGAGATTACATGCAGAAAAACACTAGCACATTGCTACAACAAGAGCGCAAAGCGACATGCCATAAGAAAAAAATGTTAAAAAGATCAGTGACATGTTGCAGCATTTCTGGGGAGTATGGTGCGTTGGCTTTTGCCTCCATCAGGTTTCAGGCAATGCAAAAGTTCCAGTGCAGACCCAAAATTGCTGCTGCATCATTTTTCCATGGCCTCCAAGGTGTACAACTGCACTAACAGCTTGCTCAGACTTCTGGAAGCAAGGGATGAGCGTATGAGCTACTTTAGATATTCACAGGTAACTGGACTTTAATGTGTAAGCATGTCTGTAAGCTCATCGCAGAAATAGATGATTCTCCATAAGAGCATCTAACTCGGTTTTCTTATCGATTGCAAACTATATCGTCCAGCATGTAGATTGGCCCCAAATGACCTAAACTGCTAAAGAAACACCGCACCAACGCATTCCATGTGCCCGTGTTGGGGCAGATCCCTTCACTTACCATCTTATTTAGATAAATCATGGCCTCATCTAAACCTACCCAATTACAAATCCCCCACACAAGACTAGTATAAGCTACTACATCTGGTTGCCACTCCTTTTCTGCACCAATTCTGTCGAACAGCTGAATCGCAGTGCTTATCGTACCTTCCTTACAATTGGCATATATAATCGTGTTATATGTGATCGCATCAGGCTTTGTTCCCCTTACCAGCATCTTTCCTAAAAGCTGCATAGCCTCCTTGGTCATTCCTGCATGACAAAAACCATTCAAAATGGTATTGTAAGTTACCAAATTCATTATCATCCCTCTTTCTTCCATCTCCCTGACAATTCCATAAGCTTCTTCGAATCTGTTCGCCTTGAAGAGACCATCCAGTAACTCATTATATGTTGTAATGTTAGGAAAACACCCATTTTTCTCCATTTTATCGAGCATGTTGACAGCCCAATCTACCTTTCCATCAGCACATAACCCTTTGATAAACGTGTTAAATGTAACTGTATTCGGAGGACAACCTTCAGCAGCCATATTTTCTACAAGACTATGAGCTTGATGAAACATAAAATTCCTACAGAGAACATCCACCATGCATGTATATGCTATAACATTAGGGCGGTAACCACGGTTCATCATATTGTTCCAAGTCTCAGATGCACCAACAAGGTCACCAACTTTGGCAAAGCCATCAATCAGAGTGCTATATGTGGTCACATTTGGAGGGCAGCCATTTTTGTCCATCTCATGGCAAACAGATACAGCATCGCCCATTTTTCCATTAGTGCAGAGACCATGTACCAGAGTAGTATATGCAATAATATTTGGCTTAAATCCCTCGAGAATCATCTGCTTCCACAAGTCAAGAGCTTCGTGTACTCTCCCTTCCACAAAATAACCCTTTATCAAGGAAGTAAAGGTGTGAACATTAGGGCTACATCCTCTCACAAACATTTGAGCCAAAACTGCAAGAGCAGACTCAACATTCCTCGTATCAGAAAGTGAATTAATAATCGTTGAGTACGTGATAACATTAGGGTTTATACCCTTATCCACCATTTCAACCAACAACTTCAAAGCCTCCTCAATTTTGTTCTCCTTGCACACCCCATTCACCAAAGCATTATAAGCAGGCACAATGGGTTCAAACCTACCAGCAAGCTCCCTGGCTTCCTCTACCTTCCCAAGTCTACATAATGCAGACACTACAGTGGTATAGCTCACTGCGTCCGGCGGACACCCCTTCTTAGACATTTCAACAAGCAGTTTGTGAGCACCATCAACCCTATCATTCTTACACAATGCCTTCAACAGAATGTTATACGTATATACATTTGGCTCCATCCCATCTTTCTTCATATTGCTATATATCGGGTTAATCATCTGAAACCGATTTTCGCTAAGCAGAGCATCCAAGAGGTGATTGTAAATCTTGACAGTGGATTTGCACCCCAATTCCCTAATCCTATAGAACATCTTCAAGGCCTGCTCAGCCAACCCAGCTCGCCGATACGAGCTGATCACACTTATAAACAGCTCCTCAGAGCACCCAACTCCCTCCAATTTCATCTGGTTCAACAAGTACTGCACACCATCCATCTCACATTGCCTCCCAAGCTTCTCAATCATGGCATGGTACGTCAATGGGGTGTGCTCAAAAGCTCTGGAATTGGCAATTGACCTGAAATACTCTAACGCAGAGCCCAAGTGGTGCTCGGATTTCAACCTCTGCAACACATCAGACTCTTTGAGAAAGGGTTGATCTTGATTGGGTTCGATTTGGGGTTTAGGGTTTGAACTGAGAATTGGGTTTGTTGTATTGAGCACAAATGGGACTGATGGTTTGTGAACTTTCAGCAGCAAGGAGCGTCCTTCCTTCAAATACATCGGAAAACCAGCTCAAATTTTGCTCATCAAATTAGAGATTTCAAAACCCTAGCTGAAGCAAATTTCAAAACCTAATCAATGAAAGATCAATTTTTTGTGTTCTGGGACGCTTGATATCCAATTAAAGTTGAAGAATTTGAAGGTTTTTTAGGGTTGGTGTTGCAGTGAAATTACAGTCCGAGTAAAAGAAAGTACAGTCCAAGTGAAGAAGGGGAGGACAGAAATGGGTTTTCAGGTTCAGGATAGAGGCAAAAATGTGAAAAGAATTAAACTTTCGGGGCGAAATACAAACATTTGGTAAACTGGATCGGCGGGTTGGTTACTTCGACTCGGACTCGATTTCCTTCTAAGACCCATAAACCCAGTTACGCACAAACAAAGCTCATTCGATTTGCAGACTGGAAGAGCAGAGGCCTCCGATCGCTCCTCACTGTTAGTTCATCCCTGCAATTTCTTCAATTTATTTGTTTTGGATTTCATCGAGTTTTATGATATATTTCCAAATTACAGATCTTGTACTACTAGATTTTCGATGATTACACTGAATCTGAAATTTGCGGGGCAAGATTTTAATTTTTCTTTGTAAATTTTAATTCCAGAAAAGGGGTGTGGTTTTGGAATTTGTAGAAGTTCAGGGTAATGGATTGGAGTTTGTATAATTCTGTTTTGGTATGTAATTTTCATGGTGTGAGATGTGTTAGTGATAGACTTGTTTGTAGTCAGGTTACTCTACTGTGCCCTTACTATGAAAAACCTTAGACCTAGAAATCTTCAGGACGCTAATAGCTCGTTTACTAATCCGTAATCACTACATGAGGAGGAATTAGGGTGGGTCCCACCCGTGTATCGTTTCCTACCCATTAGTAAACACCTGAATCCGTGAACTGCGTGCAATTCCATTTTTTACCCATTCCATTCCTCCTCAGTAAACACGCCATTATAAGAACCCAGTTCAGTTTCTGCTGAGTGATAAATATCAAGCGTGTGATTTGGATTTCAGACACGAAGGTTGGCAATCTGTGTGACTTGTTTTAGCCGGTTATGTGCTGTTTATACATTGAAATCTCGATAATTTAGTTCATCGTAATTTCTTAAAGCAGAAACGAGTCTTCTATGTGATTGTAGAACTTCGTGCAAAGTTGCAAACCCATTTGAGTCTTTCACCTTGTACTCTGTAGATTTTCCCTCTGGTGGAAATTTCAGATATGTCATATGACTGTGAGTCTGGTGAATGCCCAGGAGTTCCATTCACTATGTTCTGAAAGTTTTGTGTATATTTGCTTCCTCCACAGCTTTACCTGTTTGATTTCCTGTTCTTTTTCCCTATTACGCTATGGTTTGCGTTTTTTTGGACTAGCTGCCCGATTGAACTTGCATTAGTTATTTAGTCCAATGACATTAGGGTGATGGTTTATACAAAACTGAGGGACCGTCGGTTTGTTTTTTCTTTTTCTTCAGGAATTATTTCTCAGCTCATAGAAAGAAGAAGGTATGGGTGCGTCTGAGAAGAAATCTAGCGAGGCTGCATTTGATGTGCCAACCCTCAACGCTGAGAATTTGCAAAGTAACATGAAAGTTATATATTACAGGTTTGTTTTGACAACCTCATGGCCCATCATGAAAACTTATTCTATGTTTCCCATGTGTTCTTATGTGGACTTGTCGATCCTCCTGTAATCGACGATAAATTATCTTGCTAAATGTTGGGAGGGATCACAGTTCCATGTATTTACTCATGTCGGTTACTATATCACATCAGGCTAGCATAACTATGTGACGTGATGACCTTTTGGATGAATCATAATATAGCATGCGGGAAGATGTCACACCAAATGATTTGATATCTTCAAAATGTTTTCATGCTAGAAATTACATTCTTATAACTTTCTGGGTAAATACTAAAATGTCTGCATTTGTCCTTTGTGCAGTCGAACATTTATGTCTATCATCGGCGGTGTCATTGCTGGAATTTTGGGGTTCACTGGCCTCACCGGATTTATTTTTTATTTTCTTATCATGACCGTCACTTCAGTTGGACTCATTGCCAAGACGGGGTTTACAGTTTATTCATATTTTGATAGCTGGAGCCAGATTATACTCGACGGCTTTCTGGGTGGGCTTTTGTCATTCGTGCTGTTCTGGACATTCGCATATGACATTGTGCATATATTCTGAGGGGTTATCTGCTACGTCTCGAATGAAAGGAACCCTGTGGTGCTGCTAACTATTTACTGTTTCAAGAAAGGTCTGAACCCGTTGCTGCTTCCTGCAATGTAGTCTTTTGCTGCCGATTTGAAACCAAACGAATGTCGTCGTTGGCTTTGTCCACCGCAATTTTTTTCCGATGAATACTGCTTAGCTGAAAGGATAACATGCATAGGCCTGTTGGCGATATCTGGAGCTGTTTTGCCCTTTGGATTTCTGTCACACTAGTTTTCTTTTAACCAATTTGAATGTTGGACAAAGGTAAGGAAATCAATTTTTTATATATTGAGGTTGAGGCAGCTATGTTGAGAGTACAGCAGTAACTTTTCACGGGTGAGATATCCGTGACGGCATGAAAAAGTGCAATTTATGAATTCTTTAGGACTAAGGGTTTGTTTGAGATTTTTTGAAAGAGTTAAAAGCGCTTTTTGCTAATAAAAACTACTTTTATGCGTTATAGAAGTGAGTTTATAAAGCACTTGAGTTTTTAATAGAAATTTTGACTTGTTTATAATGGAAGGTAAATGTGTTTCTTACATGGTCAACGAGGTTTAGTTGAGTTTGGTAAGAATTGTCATCTTCGTTAAATTAAGGCCTAGGTTAGCAATTCTTTTTTGTGGGTGATCTGAAAAAATAAAAAAGCGGCTACAACCCCCTCCGTAGCCTCCTCTCTCCCTAAACTTCAAGAACAAAAAAGGTACTTACATGAGCAATTCCAAACAGGGCCTAATTAGTTTGCAGTTGTTTAAAATCTTTAAAACACCAAATATTTAGCATGTAATGCTAGTAAGACCAAAATTTTCAACCAAATTTGCAAATTAAATAATGTGTTACCATTAGAAAATAAGCAAATTAATCAACGCTCGAATAATAAACCAATCATTAACAACCGCATTCACAGTTCATATCTGCAAAGTAGCCATGGCTCCAAGTATTTTGCAGTAACTAACTAGTACGTAGTTGAACATTTGGTATCTGGTAAAGGAAACGAAAGGAAGCACAAGACTCTTGGATGATGTTATTACTATTACCGTATCAAAAGTGGTAGTATAAGTATGGCAAAGGTGTCCTCCAGATTGGAGGTCAAATCAATTCAAGTACCCACCTTCCCTATACAACGTATGTCCCGACACCTAATGCTAATACAATGTTGACAAAAGAACTAATACAATGATCTACATTTCGATTAATAACCGAGTGATTGTGATGAGCAGCAGATGATTCAATATCCCAATTGGGTTACGGAGACAAGATTTCTTGCAGTGGAACAGTATTCTCCGGTGTCGCATAAACTTTGACAAGCAACCGGCCTTGTTGTGTTCTATATCTTCTACATATTTGAATTCTCAAGCCTGTGGAGTTTTAAGAGTATCGACAAAATTGCAGAGTGAGATAAGAACCATGTGAACAGATGAAGCAGGGAAATGCCCGAAGTCACTACTCATTTTGAACAATGTGAAACGGACTCGGACTTTAACTAACCAATTCAGATGCATTAAACTTACCATCATTTGGGGGACTTTTAGGAAGACAAAAGAGATGAAGTATAATCCACACGAAAATGCTGTAGCTGTAACTATGTTGGAGACGAGGCGCTTATTATCTTTACTGGGTACAAATGCTATTTTCAATGTATTTGTCAGGTCAAAGAGCCTGCAAGAGATCTGCAATATAGCAAAGTTTCAACAATGAGAAAAAGAGTATCTTCAGATTACAGCAATTAACGTCCTTTACTTACAGCAACGTATATGGCAGAAGTGAGCATGAAGTTCAACATTGGGTAATCCGGGATCATAGAAAGCAACAACTTCGGCTGAGCATCAGGGGTACTTGATCTGCAAATTCTCACAGAAACCAGAGTAAGAAAGGTATCTGAATACATATGTATGTACATAATCGGGAAATACATATACAATGCGCCACCAGTTCTCATTGACCAAATATTTGCTAACAGAAGAAGGTACTTGAAAAATTTGCGAAGCCAGTCTTATTAGTGATACCTTAAACGTGCCGCAGGAACAACTATAAGCTTACCTTAACCAGACGTGGAATTGCAAGATGTAAGTCTCCAGTGTGATCTTTCCAAGCCACCTGGTAAACCAAAGACAAAGTAAGGAGGGGAAAAAAATGGTTTTCAATAGAATTACAGATAAAGGCATAACTTTTAACTAAAACTAAAACTAAAGCTACCATATCTTTCAAAGTTAAAACCGAATGCTGTCCAAAGCAAATGATATAACTCTAACACGTGAGATAAGATAGATTAAAACAGAGAATCACAAGACAACCACTCACGCAAAAAGGGTTAAAGAGTAGCTGCGGAATTGTTGTGTGACATTTCGCAAACATATGTAAACCCTGATAAACAAGAACAAGATGCTATATTAGTCAATAGGATAAGTTACATACAGTCCAATTTGTTAAAGCATTCAAGGAGAGATACCATACGTTATTGGAATCCATGAGGTATAGGGATGATATTTATTGTAAGTAAGCTTGTCCATCTTGTATATATACTCAAACCATAGATATCCCACCTGGAAATTCAGACTGTCAGAGATCAATGTTTAAGAAGCGGGATTTTCCTGAATATGATAGTCAAAATACCGTTAAGGCTATCAAGGAAACAGCTGATTTGATTGATGTTTTACGCTTCCATTCTGCTTCCTCCAGTTTCTCCATCCATCTTTCAACCTATAAAGATATATGCCAATTGGTTAGCTACTGACTCAAAAGAATGACAAAACCTAAACAGAAGCTCTCATATTAAATCCACCAGTCAAGTACAAAAAATACACCAAAGACAAAATTGGACTGGGATTTTTATCAAGCCTTACAGTTGGATGATAGTAAGCATAAATCATTCCAATTATCCATATGTATCGATCAAGGCCTGAGCGGAAATGCCATTCATGCAAAAGGGGTAAACCAGGTTTCGCAGGATCTGTGTAGCCTGCAAATTTGTTTAGCAATTTGGCAATTTGGGTCAGTAGTCTGCAATGTTTGACATGGTAAATAAAACTGTACGAGTTACTTACCAAGGAGGAATGTAAATGGCCCCCAAAGCAATTCAAACACTCCAGGTATTTCCCACACCAAGATAACAACCAAGAAGCAACCGGCGATTTTCATAGCCATCACTGACGCAGTTTCATTGTATTTGTTCATAATACCAAGTGCCCCATAAACCATAAGAGTGAATAGAGTGTGCATTGGACAGATGTAGTACAGCACGTAACTGTTGTTAAGGATAACACAGCAAAAAAGTACCAAGAAATTAAGCCGCCACATCATCTACACATAAAAAGGAATGAGTTGAGTTATATATACACTAAATATGGCAAACTCACCCACGCAATCTTAGAGATCTAGGAAACCCCATACCTGTGCAAACCTTGCTAGGCTGAAATCTTTGCGGACATAATAATAAGAAAAGTTTCCAAATCCAGTCATCCAGACATATGCAGCAATAAATACTCGAATTGCATTATAAATTTCTGTTGCAGCAAAATAGTGGTACAACAAAAATAACACCTGTAACATAGAGCAAAGAAGAGTGAGACCTCAATGGAAAGCCAGATGCCTTGTATTATTATTCTCTATGACAGAAGCATGTATTGTGAGCATACTTAAAGACCTGATGGTTTATACATTGAACATTGGTACCAATGAAATGCACATAGACAAGCATACATCATAAAAGATTGCAAAATAACCAACCTGCATCCAGCCTTTCCACTCCTCAGTTTGATGCCTATTCAAATAAAGTATGGCTTTCCCGGTTAACGGAGACTTCTCATTATGTATCGTGAAAGAAGTCATTGCTGAAACTATGATGAGAAGGAAGTATAGAAATATGAAAAGATCCCGATTGTAACTCTGCACAAACAGATGACATTCAAGAATATAAGGCTCTCAATATAGAAAGATATAAAAAAATTTAAATGAAAAAATAGATGAACTTCCCTAGTACTTTCTTTGTTATTTTGTTTTCGTGTTTTACCATTTAAATTTTAGTGTTTTTCAATCAAATACTTGTGCAGTGACATTGCTTCGTCGAACACCAAACATTGCTAATAATGAAGACTGAAATGTTAATATACTATGACTAAGTTATCAATATCACCTTTGTTGATGCATTGAAGAAATCCGTACGATCGCATAAGTATAAGTACGCTAACAGGATACTAAATTCAGATCTGTAAGAGAGACACAAAGAGAGACCAAGGTCATCATTCTGATACACTAAAAAAGAAAATACATTTTATTCAACCCATGAAAAAATTCACTTACATTGCCCTAAGCGTCAGCCGATTATCAAGCAAGAAAGACGAATCCATCAACATGAACCTAAACACATAATAACCGTAAGCACATGGCTTAAGCAATCATTAACCAACAACTCAGAGCCCAAAGAGTATCATTTAGAAACCTGAAAATAGGCGAATAGCCAGATGGAATTCGAGCTTTCGGGGAGGCGGATTGTAGACCTCCTCCCTCCAACAAAACAGCTCTATCATCCTCTTTAACCGCCTCTTTTTCCAATTCAACCAAGTTCACCTCGGAGTACCTGCTAATGTCAAAAACCAATCTCACTCAGCACAAACCCGAACAAGCTCATTTCTATCACTCACATGCACAAATACTTACACTTAGATATACATACGAAGTTCGAGCTTTCGGTATTGAAATGCTTCAATACATACAAATTAATTGAGCTAAAGCGCAAAAATTGTTCAACTCACAATTTGGAAGAAAGTGAATTCTTCTTGTACTCCAAGAACTCGGCATAAATCCAAGCTGCAATTATCGGAATAACTCCGAGCAAGAATGAAACCTGAAACCACAAGGAACTAAATCCTCACTATCTTTCAACAAAATTCACCACTTTATACCAAAATGAGTGACAAAATTACACAAATTCGGGAAGCAAGGGCTCGAATTCGAGCAAGATCTGGAAGAAAACAGCAGAAGCTGAGGAATCGAGTACCTGGCCGGCAGTTACAGGGCTAAAGATTATCATCTTTCGAAAGCAGCGGATCGGACGGAGAGGATGGATCAATGAGCAAGCATTTCACAGATCGGATTCGATCAGCTGCTGAATCTGGAGGGCGAAATGCAATGTCTGTGTGGTAATATACGCCGCGCTGCAGAGTATTCAATTTAGAGAGAGAGAGAGAAAGAGAGAGGGAGCGTCGGAGGGAAGGAGAAGGTGGGAAACGAGTGAGGAACAGAGACGCCGTGAGCGAGAGACAACCATATATGGTTAGAATTGTTTTTTTTTTTTTTTTTTTTTTTCATTTTTTGTGATAGCGCCATTTCTTCTAACTGTTATTTAAATCGTGTCATTAACTTCAACTTAATGGGGATAGACCTTCGCTTTTTTATGGGGCGTTGGATTTGGATCCGACGGTGTGGATATGGATCCGCGGTTCTCAGTTCTGAATTTTATGGATTCTGCCTAAACGTGTGAAGTGTTCATTATTGTAAGATGATGCGAGAAATGAAAACTCTTATCATGTAAGAAATGAAAACCCTTAAAACAATCATGATATGGAAAAACGTTATGCTTCTGTACAAACATTGTATAGAAGGATATCATGACTGCAAAATACATCACAAACACTGTTTAGTAGTAGGTGTACCACAGTCGATCCACTTTCCTTCGTTACTCTGGTGGAGAACTACCAACTCGACCTCATATTGACCAAACTCACCTAGAATGAGGCCAAACAACTCCTATTGAGCTTCTATAATTACTGCAAATTACAACGATAACTAAACAACAAACAAAAACTAACAATGCACAACTTAAATCATTAAAATCCACCCCATTAATCTTCGATTATTAAACCACACCAAAAACATACTGGTAGATGTAGTCTATTAAATTTGATCTAAATTTGATTTTACATTGCACCCAACGAGCTAGGAGAGATTTTCAGACGAATCAGATTGAAAACAAGATTTTCAAACTCACCCTAAATTTCTATCTTTTGTATTGGTTTCTTATTTGGAATAAATGAGATAATCTATGTCTTCAATTTAAAATATAGAGAGAGAGATATGCAACACCAAACTTGTAACATCCAATCTTGTAAATTGGGCAATGTCCACGAAATTCTTTTGTCTATTTAGCTTGAGAACGACACTTGATGCAAGTAAATGGAATAGTTATGGGACCTTATTGCTTATAATAAATCTTTCCAGTTTTGGGGGTCTACCCCCACCAATCAAATTTGTCCTATCATTTTCTTTTTTTATAGTCTTATCCTATTTTTATATTTTTTTTTTTTAATTCAAAGAGAGGTTTTTTAAGCAATATGATTTAAAATAGCCAAATTTTGAAATAGGTCCAATTTTATAGACTACCTTTTGAAATAGGTCCAATTTTTAGTGACTTTGAACTTTTAAAATAGGTCCAATTTTTAATTACTTTGTATCCATTTCAAAAAACCTCTTTAAAATAATATTGTTAAAACACATTTTAATACAAATTTGATTGTGTGATTCTAACGACTGACCATCCTCAATCTTTGTTTCCATTAGAGAAGTAGTAAGCAATGCTTACATAAGCGATAAAAATGATGCGTGGATAACGCTATGTTTTTATTACTTTGCATTTTTCTATTTTATTTGATCTGATAAATTTTGTCGGCATATTTTGAAGAATGCAGAGGCCCTAACTCTAGTCTAAGGAGCTCACTCACCAGGCCCAACAATTAATCTACCAAAATAAGATATTTATTGAATATTGAAATACATATAACTCGAGAATAGGATGTTTATATTGGGCTTGAATACAAACTTTGTCGGTGCTTTCAACCCAATTGAAGGGAAAAAATGTGTTCCATACCAAAATTAACTACTAGTACTATCATTCAATAATAAATCGGAAGTTATATCAAGAGGCTCTTCGAAACAAGAAACTGGATGATCAATAGTTAGACTAAACCTCGCAAGAATGTAATCCTCCAATAATAAATCAGAAATAAAACGTGTTATTAGCACTTTAAAATTTTAAATCTACATTTAAAATTTCTATATTTAGTATTTTGAAATCAGTGGACAAAAAGAGGTTGCGCCCGGGACAGAAACAAATATTTTCTGTTCATTGATTTTCCATTTTTTATATAAAAGTGAAGTGCAAAAACTTGAGTGTGCAGAAATTAGGTGGGGATTGATCCTTCAATTCCTTAAAAATAATTTGATGCTCCAAAGATACTAAGATCCTTCAGATGTTTTAACCGTTACATCTTGATTTTATATTTTTAAAATAATCCAACGGTTGAAATATCCAAAGTACCGAGTACCCAAGAAACTTCTCAATCCATTCCACCATTGTATAGAAATAGAATCAATCATCATCGGATGTCGATTTACCAACCTTCCGAGTTTTCAACCAACCAAAATTGAATAGTTCAAAGGGTCCTACCCTAATAAACCTGCAACCAACCCTACCAGATAACAAAAGAAGGAGAATACTGAAAAGGCTACAAGCTTAATCAAGTTCCTTAAACTTACATTAACTTCTCTAAAACCAACCTCTTTCAAGTCCCCCAACACATTGACTGACTGACATCAACTAAGCATTAACAAAATATGAAAAGCTTCTTGTAAACCTACGAAATTTACTCCACCTTCATACTGCTACAGCAAGAACAACAGCGCCACAGAATTCCGAAATCATCCTATCCTTCTTTCTACAAATGGGACGATGAGTTTATGAGAGAGCGAATGACCTATTTGTTAATGGTCGGTACTCTAATCCCTATCGTTTGGAGGGTCTCTCGTCATCCTCTCCTCCATCATCGTCGTCGTCGTCTGAGTCATCTTTGTCCGATCTCTTTCTCTTTGGGGGAGCCTCTACCTTCCCACCAGCGTCATCGCCCTCGTCTTCATCTTCAACATCTTCATCATCTCCATTCTCTTCAGGCTCAAAATCACTCGCATCTTCCTCATCCTCAGCACGACCTACCGGGCGGACGAGGTACTCAGTTCCTAGCTCATCCTACAGATTTTCAAAAGATGTCAGCCACGGTTTAACCATCAGTTACCATAAAAAAACAGAACCATACACAATGAACAAATGAATTGGTAACAATTGCAATAAAGGAGTAACAATTGAAGTAGAAGTAAACACAGCTGAGAGATCCGTAAGGCTTGTCGCTGCCAAATTCAGACACCGGGTAACTATGAAAGTACACGTAAAGGGAAACCTCAAGCCTACAAGGCTCCTTGCTTTGAGAGGGTTTGATGAACATCTATCATACGCAACATTACCATTTTCTTTACAAAGAGACTGTTTCCACAACTCGAACGCATGAACATTTCTATTGCGTTCAACGCTCGCCCTCAACATATGCCAGCGAAGAACAGTAATCACAGACGGGCCGTCCGTGGCCGAAAATCTTTTCGATTTAAAAGTAAACAGTAGCTACATCAACAAGAAATTACATGCTAGATTTACAGAAGGGTAAAAAGGAAAACCTCAAAGCAGCCGGCTTTAATCTAATCAAAATAAAGGATGAAATCAACAAACAAAAAAGAAACCAAATTAATAAAAGGTTTAAAGAATAATTTCAAAAAGTTTTGTGACAAGTCTAGCAGAGGCTTAAATGTAAAAGCTATGGAGGACTTTTCTCTAAATTTTGCTACATGAAAAATAAATATTTAGAAAACTAAAAAATAATAAACAGCTACATGCTTTGACTGCAAATTATAAATGCGAACTGCAAATCTACAGACTAACAGATCACAGAAAAATATTTCAAATCTAATTACAATTAAAAAAATATATAGAAAAAACCAAAAGAAAATTCAAATATACGCTGAATTCCAGGACCAGAACGCTAGAAAAATCAGATTAAATAATATCAAAAATTATTTCTTCACATAAACACAACAAAAACATACAAAAATTACCAGATCTGTTGAATCTACACCAAAAATAAATAATAAAAAATAGAAAATTCGGGAAAAGGTAAAGTTTGAGTTGATTACCTCTTCATCAGGCTCGCCCTCATCATCGTCGTCGTCGTCGTCTCCCTCGCCATCGTCATCGTCGCCACCGCCTTCACCGTCTTCGTCGTCCTCGTCCTCATCGTCTTCGTCGTCTACCGAGTGAATCGGAGGGCCACCAGACGACTGTACGACCTCCTGAACATCGTCGTCGTCGTCCTCTTCTTCGTCATCGTCGTCCTCTTCGTCGTCATCCGCGTCGTCGTCGTCGTCGTCCTCATCCTCGTCAGCGTCCTCCTCCTCTTCGTCTACGCTGTCATCGGACTCGGACTCAGACTCTGACTGCGACTCGTACTGCTCCAATTGCTCGGCGGTCAAAGGCTTAACTTCGTTTTCCTCCACAACTTCCTCCATAACCTTCATCCTCTCCAAGCTCACACAAATTTGCAGAGAAAATCTCCCCTTTCTGTTCTCAATGAAACGAATTGGGATTGGATTTGGGAGAGGGAGTGAGATAGAGGAAGGGAGAGAGGGACGAGAGAGGAGCTGCTTGGTTCGCTCTAGCAGTAGCTCTGCAACCAGCGATCTGAGCCGCTGAAACGCGGGTTCACGCGGACAGGTGACGTGGCGGGAAATCGGACGGTCCTGGTGAGCCAATTTGTATTTCTGTTCTAATAGGTTTCCTGCGGCGCTTCATATTAATTAGATGCTTTGTCACGTGCAAGGGAGGGCGTAGTCTGAGGTCACTAGGGTTAGGGTTTCCGATTAATGTGTGAAGACCCAAAAATACGGCCCATTATTTTCAGTGGATCATAAGCTGTGTAGGCCCCCACCTTCTTCTCGTTGTTTCTTTTTAGGGGCCGGAATTGGGGGACTGGCGGAGTGTGTAAATTAGGCGACATAGGGTAATAATTTTGTTGACCACAACTTCGTATTTGAGGAATCTTTTTGAAAGCGGTATTTTCTTGATCATCGTAAATAAATATAAAGGTGTCAATTAGATATATTATTCTGGTGATTAACTTATTGATTTAAAGTGAATTTGCACAAATAAGCTATTAATTAAAAACCTCTACACGACTACCACAGGCACAAGTGCACTAATACAAATTTATCACAAGAATGATAGACGTAACAAACCTATAACAATGCACACACCGATCTTCACTAATGAGCGAGGCCACATAACGTTATAACTGAAGAGCGAAACCACATAAAATCACAGTTGAAAAACGAGACCATAGAGTCATCTCTCGAAGGCGAGACCACATCATCAGCCAAACGTGACACAAACAAAACCTACACTAATTCGAAAATAGAATCCACCAGTCTCCTAAACTCGGTGGAGGACTATAACGCTCTAGGCAAGACCACCTGCAACTACACTATAGCTTTAGTCAACTCAACATAGCTAGAGTAAGATATGAGTGACACTTGGTCTTCATTTTGTTGTTTGTGAAAAATCATATATTTATCGTTTGGCTAATAATTGTAAATTACATTTTGGGCATTACAATATATCACTCAATGTTTTTCATGTGTTATTGAACTTTTAGTAAACTTTGGTAGATGATGTCGCTTATTAGTCTCTTTTGGTTTACACCTTACTAGACATAGAGGCCCTACGAGGCACATGTTGGTGTCCTTTTTCTAACTTGCAAAAGCATGCCAAACTAATTAATAATTGCATAATTTGGCTATTTTGTGGAAACATGGCCAAAATTTTAATTGTTGCCTTGGTCATAGCCACATAAACACACGACGAAAAGACTAAACACTAGAATAATTAATAGTGAAGATCTTATGGCCGGAAATGCTTTTTAAAAAAAATATCAAATTGTACTTTTGTAAGTTTAACATTTGTTGTTAAATCGTTTTACAAGCGTTTTTTGTTGTTTGAAAAAAAATAAATAAATAACCATCAATGTTTAAAATCAATGAGATTGGTTTCTTTATAAGAGAAGGTTTTTGGAAAAAAATGTACCCGATCAAGGGGGAATTTCAAATTTCTTTGTCAAGTAAAGAAAAAAAAAATAGACTAAAATAAAATAAAAGTTAGGTGGAATACTGTTGAGATTGAGAATGACAGGGTATGCTGGATAAAGAATGGACTCAAATTTTGTGGTATATTCTTCGGTTTATTTGAAGAAAAAATAATATATAAAAAATCATCGTAAAACTTCTTTTATTTTAAAACAGTAAATAATTACTAATTCATTGTGAGGTTAAGTTTTTTTTTTTTTATGTGTGTATATTTCACCAGTATTCACGATAATAATTCGGTTCTTATACTTTTGTAATTAAACTCACGTCCATCCATGCAAAATTGTATGTCGCATACTGTTAGAGCATTTACCATGTATGGCTAGGAACTCTTCATTTTATTTCTTTGAAAAAGATGCAAATGAAAAACCATATTCCCGGGCATTTAGAACACAGGCGTAGAATCTACGTCGCTGTATGTTAAGATTGGTACGTATGTAACGTGACCCCACATCAAATGCTTGTCACCATCCGAACCCGGATATTCGTCGAATCCTCTTTGCAAGGATCTCGAATATCAGTCAATCTTGTCCGTTTATCGTACATCGTACGATCATAAATTATTTTAAATATTTTTATTTAAAATTAAACACAAATAATATTTGATAAAAACTGACTGCACGATATAAAATGAATAGGCACAATTCACGAATCTTCAAGATCCTCACCAAGGATCAGTAAACAATCCTGTTGGGACACCACGCAATTAATCTAGTCAGCTAATCATAGCTGGAACACGTGTACTTGATAGATATTTACCTAATTAACCATATTTCCCTTGACCCAAATAAATAAATAATTATATATAAAAGCATCTAATATATGATATATGTCCCATTTACTATTCCTCCAAGTCCGACTTTGTGTGTATTGAATGTGCCGGAAAGCTCTCCGCCAGCACAAAGAAATATTTGAGAGATCATATATTAGTTACTCATGTGCGCAGCGAGGTGGTACTCCTCGGCTTTCAGCTGGCTGGATTTCGATTTCTCCATGCCCTCGTTAGGAATATTCCGGTGGTCGTGGACCGGAATATTCGACCTCTCGTACTTCACTTCTGGGTGGAGTTTGAACTTGCAGAGCGTCCGAGGGTTCGGCTCCTCGATACTCGATGATGCGGTGTGGACGTTGATAACTGTGGTGGAGTCTTTTGCCTTGGCCTGTATGCTTTGCTTCTTCTTTCTCTTTTGTGGTTGTACCCTTTGATTAATATCCATATCAATTTCTTGATTATTTCTTAGATATAAAGATATCAGATATGTAGGTTGTGAATATATTAGTATATATAATTAACTTGTTGGAATTTGCAGAGATATGTTGGGTTCGTCGGCTAAATTAAGTTGATTAATCGATAAAATTTTGTGATATTTGGTTGATATGAGTTAATTGTGGAATTCGATTTGTTTGGAATTTGATTTTACATTTCTTAATTCCTAGCTAAGATAAACTTCCTGTAAACTCGAATTCTGAGTCCATTAAGTGGTTCGGGTTAACTCAAGCGATTAGAAGTCGGATAATGTGTTAGGATTAAGATAGTTTCAAGTTCGATTCCGTCGAGTGTAACCAAAAATCATACATCAAGCTGCCATCAGCGATTTTGGTACTATATAAATTTTGATGCCTATTTCTCTGTATGTTCCATAACCTTCTGGTGATCTGCGGTGGTGTGTTTTCTTTAAAGTTAGCAGTAATGCAGATCACCAAGTTGCCATCAAGTATCTCACTTTTTTTTTCTGTGTGAAAAATATCTCGAAAGTTAAAAGTTCAAAAACAGGGGAAAAAGGAAAAATTATTTTTCCCTGTTAATGCTTTAGCAGCCTGCTGGCAGTAAAATCACGATGGCCCTTTTGACTACTTCCCTAGGGCTACTTGACGAAAAGAACTCTCCCGTAGGATTAACGTGAGATCAGGTGAAACAAAAATATAAGTTTTATATTTTCTGAGATGTGCTTTGTAGATGATGTGTTTGAGTATATCTCCGTCTAAGTTTTTCTATGCGAACTCATAAGTTGATAAATTAAGTCATCGTTCATATGATATTGGGAAGGGGATAAATCAAGGGAACTTTAACGAAAAACTCTTGATATTGTTCCAGTGAAGGGTTTTTTCGTTAAAATAAACAATATCAAGAAAATAACCCCTCACTGTAAAATAACCCCTCACTGTAAAACTCGTATAGTTTCCAAAAAATAATAATACATACGTATGTAGAAATCATTCTCAAGAGTAGTGAAAACCAAGTATATGTCATGTCAAATATCTCAACAATGAAATAAGTAAGCTAAGTGAAATAAATCAATGTAAAATGATATGCCAGCCGGAATCACCTAATGTGACCTGTACAGCTGAACCTATAGGTCATTAATCAATTCCTGCACACGAGCCAGAACCACCTAATGTGGTATGTACGACAGGGCTGGGTGTAAATAGATACGCTCAAGTGCTACGATCACGTGAAGGCTGTGCGAATAATCGCGAGTCACCCACGAGTCGGAACCACTTATTGTGGTCTGTACGACAAGGCTGTGCACCAAACTTGGATCCAAGGTAAGTGTGCGGTGCAGGGGGTGAACATCACGTGAAGGACTGTGCCCTGACCACAGGCGGGAGCACTAACACCGAGATACAGGATAATGAGCTCTACATGCCTCTACGTATAACCATAACCAATGCAATCACTAACATCATATAGTACTCACCTGAAACTTACTTGGGCAGTAATGCAGATCACCAAGTTGCCATCAAGTATCTCACTTTTTTTTTCTGTGTGAAAAATATCTCGAAAGTTAAAAGTTCAAAAACAGGGGAAAAAGGAAAAATTATTTTTCCCTGTTAATGCTTTAGCAGCCTGCTGGCAGTAAAATCACGATGGCCCTTTTGACTACTTCCCTAGGGCTACTTGACGAAAAGAACTCTCCCGTAGGATTTACGTGAGATCAGGTGAAACAAAAATATAAGTTTTATATTTTCTGAGATGTGCTTTGTAGATGATGTGTTTGAGTATATCTCCGTCTAAGTTTTTCTATGCGAACTCGTAAGTTGATAAATTAACTCATCGTTTATATGATATTGGGAAGGGGATAAATCAAGGGAACTTTAAAGAAAAATTTTTGGTACTGTTTATTTTAACGAAAAATCACATTGTTATACTAAAAAGTCAATCCTGAAACTATTCACTTTACTTTTTATTTTTGTCCTTATCTTTAAAACTCAAATTTTTAAGCTATTTTCATTAGATTTCCTATAAATCAAACATATCCTTAGATTTGAAAGAATACTCTTTTTTTAAATCATAAGAACAACAACATAACATTAGGATTACATATTTGATAAACATAAATTACAATAAACCAATTATAGCTTACTTATTTGTAGAATACGTAAAACATAATCTTGTAGATGACAAATGAGTCTTCTACTTTCAGCAAGCGGAAATGTTCTAGCAATAATAGGGTTTGCTCAAAATGGAATGTGTATTTTGTGAAAGCAGGGACACTCTTAATACAGTGATTAGGATTCCTCTAAAACAGCCTATTATTGACAGACTCCGACCCGAAATGTCCACTAGGACTCCTAATCGAGCTGTGTTGGTCGACACCTAGAAGGTAACGAAGTTATAAAGTACGGTGATGTGGAAAATGTGAATAAATTTAAACCTAAAAGTGCCTAAAGACTAGAGTGCGCTGTGAGCTAGAATGAACATATTTCACACTCGATGTTAGAGTATAAGTAAAGTACAGTAGTGTGGATAAGGATCATACCCTCGAAGATAGCCACCTATACTGAGATTTGCCAAGAATCCTCGTCGATACGAACTTTTAGTAGCTAAAACATGGAGGGGCGAAAAACAGAAGGGTGAGTGGGCACAAAAACAAAGCTTTAGAAAACACATTTCTCTTTTCTGAAAGTAATAACCTCTCACTGTAAAACTTGTATAGTTTCCAGAAAATAATAATACATACGTATGTAGAAATCATTCTCAAGAGTAGTGAAAACCAAGTATATGTCATGTCAAATATCTCAGCAATGAAATAAGTAAGCCAGGTGAAATAAATCAATGTAAAATGATATGCCAGCCAGAGTCACCTAACGTGACCTGTACAGCTGAACCTATAGGTCATTAATCAATTCCTGCACACGAGTCGAAACCACCTAATGTGGTATGTATGACAAGGCTGAGTGTAAATAAATACGCTCAAGTGCTACGATCACGTGAAGGCTGTGCGAATAATCGCGGGTCACCCACGAGTCGGAACCACCTATTGTGGTATGTACGACAAGGCTGTGCACCAAACTTGGATCCAAGGTAAGTGTGCGGTGCAGGGGGTGAACATCACGTGAAGGACTGTGCCCTGGCCATAGGCGGGAGCACTAACACCGAGGTGCAGGATAATGAGCTCTACATGCCTCTACGTATAACCATAACCAATGCAATCATTAACATCATATAGTACTTACCTGAAACTTACCTGGGCGTTCGCAGCGTCATGCAATAATATGCGTTTCGTTTGTGCCCACACATCCGTAGCGACGAGTACTACAAGGATACGCCAAGAAAATGAATTTTACGTAACTCGACAAGACAGTTAACAAAAGTCAACGCATTTTCCTTGAAGGGCATTTTTGTAAATTCACCTTATAAAATCGTAATAATTGGGGACGGGTTGTTACAATTATAGTTAATAGAGAGAGACACATAATCACTATTAAATCAAAATGTTTGCCCACACATATACAATATGTCTTATTTAATTAGGGTTTCAAATCTTGGTTTCATGATTCTTACTAACCAATATTGAATCATGTCAAAAGTCAAATATCTTGAAGATCAAGTTATTTGCCTTTTAAGTAATTCGATTCATAACAATTGACAACTCAACTTGAGTCTTACATTAATCTCAACATGACTCTTACATTAATTACTTGAGCTACAAATTTATTGCACTAAAAAAACAATAGCATAATAAATGATCGATGCACATGGTTTGTACAAAATCTGCTTCCCAGAAAATACGTCGCCAAGAAATAAGATTAAACTTCAATCCGCTTCCTGACATCTTCTTTCAGCGTCTTTCAAGGCATAGGGCACCGTTTAAGTTTGCATTCAATAACCAATTTGATTCTCTTTCGACACAAATATTATACATTCGCGAAGCAGTCCTACGACTATCTCTAAGAGCCATGGTTATGCCAATATTATTATTTACTTTGTACTCCTTAAAGCAATTTCACCCGTTGGAGAAGGGAAACAGCAAAGCCCTATAAATTGCTCTCTGAAAAACAATTGCCTTTCTGCAACTCGACCCGTTGGGCAAGAGTAAGGGCAAAAGAAGAGTGATACAATTCACAACATATTTTTTTATGTCTTGTAAGTGTGTTTAAGCGTGAACTTTGTAAATATTTTTTTTGAAAATAATAAAACTCCATGTAACTTCAATAATTTAATTTCAAATACAATACAAAGCAACTAGCGTTACAACCTAAGAGATTGTAGTAAAACTAAATATTAAGTTGTGGTGCGGGAAATAAAGAAGATGGTTAGGTATTTATTGAATTTAAAAAAAAAACCTTTATTTTTATCTTTTGGCTTTGGGTTAATCTTGGTCGTTGATTTCCCTACTCATCCCAAATTAGACGCACCACAACGTACCACTAGGTTGAGAAGACTTTCATGCAAATTATTGGCCTCCATATTAGTAGAGACCATATTAGTAGGACCTTTTGTTCATTAGTAGTGACCATTAAATATTTTTTATTTTTTTATCAACTAAAGGCAGGAACCCTTATTAAACACACACCATAAATTTACAAATTACTGGCCCACAGACAAAATATACAAATAAAAAAGGACCAGCCCAAAAAACAGAAAAAGCCCAACCAAAGGTTGAGCCCAAACCAGAAAAAACCAAGAACAACCTAGATCTCTGATGCAGCCATTTCCACACCAGAAAATCCCATCCAGCAGCCTGCTTCCAAGCTTCCGACAAAGCATCCCCACTCTGATCACCATCATTAGCTGAGAACAGCTCTTCAATCGCAACCACAAGCTGGGAAAAACCAGCCATGAAGCCTATGGAGATCCAAATGCAACGTTGCCAAAGGCAGATAGAGAAGGTGGTGGTGTAGATAACACTTGAACCAGTGAGAACACAGGAATTCGATACACCGACTCGATAAATCGCGACAAATCACGATGAAAAGTGACTACAGATGGAATTGGAAATGACACAGAAAAAAGGATGCCAAAGAATTGTGGAGAACAGACTAGAAAAAATTGGTAGGAAAGGGAAAACGCAGCAGAAAATCACAAAGGGAAAAACAGAAGAAACAGAAAAGAAACTGCCACTGACCCCAGCTGGAACTAGGATTGGCAACAACGAAAAGTGACGAAATTGCAAACACTCACACGAGACAGTGAGAAAGGCTCTCAAGCATAGAGAAAGGAAAGCAGCGTTTAAATCTTTCTATTAAAGCAATTCATGTTCCTAGGAGAAAGCTAAATAAACATCCCACTTGCCTTTAAAATTATAACAAAATACTATGAAAATTAACATTTTGGGTGGCTTCGACGTTTTCTTGAAAGTAAGTCACCGCGTAGGCTCGCTACTTGTTACTACGGTCAAGTAGTATTTCTTTTTATTTGTATGTGAGAGGTCTTAGGTTCGATTTTTGCCAAAGACGAATTTGAACCGCATTATCATTAGTCCATTATGAGGCTAAGCCTACCCTCTCCCTTTAGTGTAGATAATATCGTTTGTTAAAAAAAAAAATTCACAGCACAGGCTCAAATCATTTTAAAATTTTGTATTTGACATAACTGGAGCTTCTCCTACAAAGGGGATGTTATTGTATCCCAAACCAAAGGCACTGCCGTGTTCGAAAAGGAAAGTTTTTCTCCTCCTGTTTGAGTGTCCTTCCCATCCCCTCCTATTTTGTGCAGTCACGGTTAAACCATGTCAACATTTTATAGAGATAATAAGACAAAAAATAATAGGAATATAAAATATTAACGTGGCTTAACCGTGACCGCACAAATAGGAAGAGATGGAAAGGACATCCAAACAGGAAGGCAGAAAATCTGCCTCCTTCTCCTATATACTCAATGACAATCTGTGTACTTCTGTTTTCAACCATTTTAAGACAGAAATTATTGCTCACCGAACAATTTCCGGGACACAGAAAGTTCACCAAAGAAAGCATGGTTCATACATATAAGGTATAGTATTAACTATTTAGCCGAAATCTGCAAGATTTTAAGAGCCTGGTATTTTTCTATTTTCTGCCAATATTTGCGTTGTATCTGTACAAAACTAAATAGCCAACAAATCTGTCACTCCCGGACAGAGGACTCGCACCTAGGCATTTTATGTGTAGAACGCATTGATCTCTATAAAAAAACATCTGCCCGAATTCTCACAAACTCTTTTTCCTCCTCGTGAAGATGACGAGTTTCACATCTCAAACACTGATCATACTTCTCATTCAAGTTGCCCTTCTTTCAATGTTGCTCCATTGCAGGGTTTTCTTCCCATGCCAATTTCATCACCCAAACATACCAGAAAACGAAAAACCCCCGTCTTTGTGAGGGTTTAGTTCGATCAGACAATCGAAGTCTCGATGCAAAAGATGTCACGGAATTAGGCTTCATCATGATCGATATGCCTCAGCTTAAAGCGGGAGAAGGTAAGAGACAAATCCAGCAGCTACTTCAGGCCCCAGGAGCGCCAACAGACAAACTAAACTCTTGCGATAAAACTACCAAAATGTTATAGAAGATACGGAAGCAGCCTCTTCAGCTTTAACCAATGGTCCTCGCACTGCTCACGACCGCTTACTAAACACCGTCCACGAGGCTGATTTATGTGACGAACGATTTGTAGGGTCCTCCAATCCTCTGTCAGGTTTCAACAAAGCTGTTGAAACCTGAAATTATTTTGTACGAGACCAAATATTAAACTAATCTAATTTGTGGGACTGGAGATTGAATTCCAACTTGAGAACAAAAAGGTGGTTGAATCATATTATTAAATGTTAAGCTGCCCGATTATTTCAAGGGGAGCTTCTAGTCTGATCTTCTTTTTTTTCTTCTTGATAACCAGCAGATTATTGGCATTCTTATTTCCAATTAACTATGCGCTCATATGTAAAGACCATAAAAAATCTACTTCTATTGTTTCAAAAAACGAAAGAAAAATAAAATACTTGTAATCAAAAAATTCTTCCCAGCCATCGCTCACATCAAATCCTAAGGGGTGATGAGGTGAGATTCTTTTTGGTTTTTATTATAGATATGCTTCTTGCTCTTAAATCCATCAAGATCTCTCTTTCATTATAATCCTAGCAAATCTTTAAAATTTTCACAACATTTAGACTTGTGTTGACTTTTATAAAATCATAATCCATTAATTTGGATGGATTCTTTAAAATTCTAATTTGACTACACTGTTATTTCAAATCCTTTTAAAATATTCATTTAAAATCCTAATTGATTACAACCGGAATTTAAAGCCTATTAAAATCATATCAAATCTGAGTTTGACTACATACTCTTGTTAATTTTTTGTCATAGATCTCCTTCAATTCATTTGATCCGATGGCTGGAAATTAAGAAGGTTGTGTGAGAAGTAAGAATTGGTGTGTGAATAGCACTACCCAAAAATAAACAACTAGTTTTCCAACATAAATGGTAAGAAAATCAAATCCTACGAAGTTTTCTGAAAAGATCCCTCAAAAACCAAGTTAGTTTGACCCTTAATTACTCCCATCATATAAAAGGTACATGTAGGGTTCAGTTTCTCACATCTAGCCCTAACCATCAACCTACTTGTTCAGCTTTCAGTTTTAACGATGAAGAAATCTTTGATATCTCTAACCCCAATCTTTCTTGTTCAAATTATCCTTCTTCCAATAATCCATGGCAGGATCATCTTCCCGATGAATGCTGCCCTCGTTGACCAAACATGCAAGCAAACACCAAACTTCGATCTCTGCGAGACTCTTCTCCGATCCGACCCTCGGAGTCTCAACGCCGAAGATGCCAAAGGGCTAGCCTCCATTATGGTCGACATAGTTCAGGCCAAGGCAACCAAAAGCATGGACAAAATCAACGGTCTGCTTAAGAGCCCCGGAGAAAACCAGGCCTTGTTCACCTCATGCATTGACAATTACAACACTATCATAGATGATGATATTCCTCAAGCCTCCGAAGCTTTCAGTAATGATGATAATATTACTGCAGAAGACCGGTTGAAGGACGTTACGTTTGAGGTTGACTTGTGTGACAAGCAATTTTCAGGGCCCTCTAACCCTCTCAAAGATGTCAATAAAGATGTTCATGATGCTGCAAGTATAGCTGCAGCAATTGCAGATAAGTTGCCGTGAAGGTCAAGGAAAAACTAGTTTAAGAAGAATTTTGATGGAAATTATTAGCCTCTATATTAGTAGCACTTTTTGTTTATGAGTTGATGTAACGCAGCGGAAGAGTACTTAAGAGATGTATGGCCATTAATATACATACACTCGCAATTTTTTTTAATAAATTAATCTTCCCTCTTAAATATAATCTTGTTTTCTCTTCTATAGTTCTGCTTTTGCTTGGGCTTTTTGTGTTGTGCGTAATTTCCCTTCTTATTACTGAAACTTTCTTTCTGACCAAAAAAGAAAGCTAAGATAATCTGGCTTATTTGTTTTCTGTTCAAATTCACATTCAACAACGCTTGCTTTTAAAGTTACGACGAAATAATAAGAAGCTTGACATTCCGGGTGGAATTAAAGTTTTTTTTTTGTTAAGTCGCTTCGCAGGCATCAAATCTTTTAAAATTTTGTATTTGACATCTCTCTGAAGCTTCTCCTATCCCAAACCAAACGCACTGCCATGCAGGAAAAGGTAAGTTTCGCTCCTGTACGTCAAGTTTGCTTAGATAGTATATTCCACAATATCATATATATGACTGAATCGAGAAACCTATACTCAATGGCAATTTCTCTACTGTTTTGAACCATGTTAAGGCATGGTTCATATAGTGTAGTATTTGCCAGCAGCAAGAATTTGGGAGCCTGCTATTTTTTTTTTTTTTCTGCCAATATTTGCATTGCACCAGCTGTACAAACTAAATATCCAACAAGTCTCACACTCCCTATGGACCCTATCTATAATGGGACTCAAACCTTTGCATTTTATGTGTAGAACTCATTGATATATCTCGAGCAAAAACATCTGCCCAAATTCTCGCAAAACCTTTTTCCTGCTCCCAAAGATGACGAGTTTCAGATCTCAAACATTGATCATACTTCTCATTCAAGTTGCCCTTCTTCCAATGTTGCTCCATTGCAGGTTTTCTTCCCCTTTTCTAACGACTTTCTCCGCCTCCTTCTTCGCTTTTTTATACCTCTCATTACATATTAATTTGATAACCAAAATTGCATTCCTGGGCATGCAAATTGTTAGAAAGTCAATGTTCTTAGTTAGGAAGTTTTTATGTAACTGATTATGTATCTACTACATTATTATTCCTAGATTATCGGATTTCTTATTGTTCAAAGGAAAACTCTTGTACATATCATTGACAAATCAATCGAATTATTCAGTTGCACCAAATACAATTTTCTAAACACATAATGTTATGTTAGAATGCGAGCATCCAATTAAAACTCAAGTACCAACGAGTTGAATATCCCAACAAGTTTAGGCTCTTATGCTAGACTTCCATTCTTTGATTTGGGATGCTCGCAACATATCTCTCTCAATGTGGTTTTGTTATGCCTACATACATTGGTTAGAACATGCTTTTAAACTGGAAAAATATATGATACTGATGAATTGAGTTTATTAAAGAACATACATAAATAACCAATTTTTAGTAAAAATGCAAGTAAATTAGGAAAAATCACTTAAAGTACTTTCTGAAAGAAGCACATAAATGATGTTTACTGTAGAAAGCACTTCAAGTGTTTTTGGAACCCAAAAACATTTGTTCTAAAAACGCTTTCAATCATTTTAAAAACACATCTAAATTAGTCATATATCAGCCGAAGTGAGTTTACTGTGATTTCACGTTCAAGAAACCCTTTAGTGCTGATGTAATTTGTTGTACACGTGGCACAATAATGCTCACAAAAGGGTCTTCGTCATAAGAGAATCTCTCCATCTTTATGCCCTTGCATCGAGACAAGAAGACCTACCACATTTACTCTTTTTGAACTTTTGTTTCTGGTTTCTGGTTTCTGGTTTTTCTGCATGTTGTTTTGCAATTTGTTTCCCAATTATTACTATAGAGGCCAAAATTTGAGGAAATTAAAATGGTGCTAATAACTGAATCATATGGAATATTCCTCCAATTTTCTCATTACTTGACCACCCAAAAAGGAGAATAACTTCTTCTGAAATATCACGGTAACTTTATTTTAAATTAATCGTGCACTATTACAGATAAAATTAAAAACATGTGTCTGTTTATGATTGACTTCATATACCGTCTCAGTAGCAACTCAGTAGTAAGTACGTGAAGCAACACGAAATGTAGACGCAAAATATTTAGACATGTGAAGCAACACGAAATGTAGACGCAATTGAAACTCATAGCACCTGATTACAAAAAGCGCCTACGAGTGAACACGGTAGTAATAAGTGGCAATCAATCTGCCAATCCATGAAGTTGGAACATGAGTATAAATTAACTGCCAAAAGAATCAGATCAAACAATCCCAACAAAGTTTCTCTTCCCATCTCAGAAAATGAGTAGCTCACTCTCAAGATTCTCAACTCTTCTTCTTTTTCTCCACGTTGCTTTACTCATTGCACCCCCAACAACCCAATCTTTTTTTCTTCCATTAGACAAAGGCAGTAATCTGATACAAACAACATGCAAAAAAACACCCCACTATAATCTCTGCCTCTCAACCCTCCAATCAAACCCCGACAGCTCAAACGCGGATGTGCCGCGATTGGCCCGGATAGCATCCGATGCTCTCCTGGCAAATGCAAGTGACACACTGGACTACATCCACGGCCTGCTGAAGCAATCCCGGGAAGTACAATTACAGAAGGCATTGGCAAACTGTGCTGAGCTGTACATCCCAATTGTGAAGTTTAGCCTGCCGCAGGCAATTGAAGCTTTGGGAAATGGGCACTTTGGTTTTGCAAAGTATGGGATTTCTGATGCTGCAACGGAGGCTGAGGCATGTGAGAAGGGTTTTGGAGGAGTTAAGTCTCCTCTCACTGATAGGAATGCTCTTGTGAATGATCTTTCTGGTGTAGCTGTTGCCATTCTCAATTTATTAAAGGGTTGATTTGTCCCTATCTTATTATTAGGAAAATGATAACCACATGTTCATTTTCTCCTTTTGCACACTTCAGTTTTATGTACGTGGATTCTTTGATTTGCTCAATTCAAAGGCCAAAAATAAAAAGGAGTGTGCAGAAGGAGAAAGAGTGCAGAAATCACCTCTCTAGGATTATAGTTAGTGAGTAATGTGTGAAGTTGCTTTTCTTCTGTAGTTTTTGTTTGGGAAAGTTTTCAGCTTTTTTGGTTGTAGATACTTGTACTTGTAGCAGCTGTTTCAGCCACTGAAATTAAGTTTTGTTCTCTTCATGTTCCTTTGTGGGGTAAGAGGGGAATCTCTCCCCTCACATCCCCTCTCTCCCTAAGATGAGATGCACCTTGTTTTAACTGTTTTGAAGGGTAGGTTTGGGATTGGCTTGGGCCAGATCGAGTCTTCCATGGTGACCATATGTGGTCAGATGCAAGGACACTGGCAGGCTATTAGGTGCTGAATATTCCATCGCCCGAGTGAGGAAAGGAAAGTGTCTTATAGCGTCTCTAGCAGCCGAGCTAAAGGAGATTTTTGGTTACTTAAACAAAAAAGGCAGAAAAATAAAGCTTTGGTTTGATACCTTATAAAAAGTGGATATCAAAAAAAGCTGAGTTCAAAAAGGTGTTTGGTAAACACTTAAAAACAGCTTATTTTCACAGTTTTTGGTGAAAAAAAAAACTGAAAACGCGGTAAAAATGAGCTTTGAAAAAAAACTGAAAACGTGAAGCAACATAAATGTTGGATTATATGTTGAATGTTGGATTATGATTCTTGTTAAACGTTAGATTATGACTTCTTGTTAAATGTTGGATTATATGTTTAAGATAAAGTTTATAAATATTTTTCTTTGGAAAATAAAGTATGTTTAGTAATGCACCTTTATTTGTTAAGAAAATTAAATTAATGGCACATCTAGTATTATACCATTTTTTGTCATTTAACACAGTCACAGCTATTTTACATAAAAGTTTACCAAACACTATAATAGTGTTTTTTTTTTTTTTCAAAAGCACTTTTACAAAAATGTTTATCAAACACTCTTATTGCTTTATTTCACAACTGCTTATTCTCACAGCACAACATAAACAATTTTTTTTTTCAAAGCACAACAATACCAAAACAGCCATAACTAGTTTAACTTTGTGAACAATAAGTAGATAAATTTAGTTAGGATGAGAGAGAAAGCTAATTTTTCTGCTAAATAGTAAAAACTATAAAATTGCATTATTTGTTGGCTTCAAGAGAAGAAAAAGGACTTGGGTTGTTAAGTTTAGATAAAATAAAATTTTAACTTAAGCTAAATAGCTATTATTGTTGGGAGTGGTGGCTAGCCAAATTAACATTTGGGTCATCTGATTAGCTACATCAACAAAAATTTAGCTAGTATTGTTGGAGATGCTCTTATATGTGCAAACCCCCATATACATATTAGGTGTGTTCTGAGCTTGAAGGCTCCTTAATAGATAGACTCAAAATGGGCAATATCTTGCTTGAAAGTGAAATTGAAATTTTCATTGTCACATTACAGGCAGCAATTGAAATATGGTTTTCAAATTACGTTATGTATTAGTGGATGATGCCAACACAAGTGGCAATGCCATACGCAAAAAAAAAAGATGCACAGAAAATGGTAGAGGCAATAGAACTTTTGCACACTTTCATTAATCCATGAACATAATCGATATTAAAGTATCGAGAATTCAAATATCGGGTGAAAAAGTAAACGTTCTTATAAATCATGGCTTAATTTTCTACTTATCTCGATCAACATTGACCACAACCTTTAGAATCTTATGTGATTTGCATGTAGACATGTTCCATCATTTGAAAGATTTCCAAATTAATAGATTTGGATAATGTATACATGTGAAGGAAAATGGTATCTTGTGATCAATTGGGACCCTCCCTTTTTTTTTTTTTTTTTTATGTTGGTCACACGGACCCTTTCTATTTAGGTAAAACTATTCGTAGATTTGTGAGGGAGGAGAAGGCTCTGGAATCTCACGGAGCAAATATAACTGAGAGCCGCTTGACTGCTAGAAGAAGGCAACACTATGTGAAATCACATGTTATATATGGCACCAATGCCTCAAAGCATGTTAAACTTAAAAGCACGCCCTGGCCAGAAGCACTTCCATAAAAAGAAAATTGAAATGAGGATGCCTTGAATGGGGGCAAATTAGCATGCTGCATGCACCCTAAGAAACGCAACACATGACACTGCATTATTGACCTGAACGCCAGAATAGCACGCAACACAAAACATTGTATTATTGGCCGGAATATCAGTGAGGGTGTATGCAAGCCCTTCCACTCAAACGGGGTCTTCTATTGCCAAGTTTGCACAATATTTCCCTTACTAAAAATACCGGACAATAAAGGGATTCGCATTTAGATGCAAAGAGAGGCACGCTGGCGTGTCTAACTCGCCTAATCCACACATTAACAAAGCATACCTCAAAGAAGCAAAATCGACGTCTCCATCCTACATTCATGGCATTCCATTCATACAGGAAACATTTGCATCTTTGGAGACAAAACCCAGCGATATCGAACGCGAATAACATCTACTACCAATTTCAGCCAAACTTATACAGCATTTGAAATGAAGGAGCAGATTTGGATGATTTTCTAGTGGTATAATTACCGCAACTTTATTAGAGGCCAAACCAGTTGCAAGGAAGGCAAACTTATCAGTATGCATTTGACATCACCGACAGAACACTAAAAATTGTACTGTAACCACTCTCTTTCTCTCTCTGAGTCTCTTGCTCTCCCCCATTTCTGTACATACAGGGGATCAACAGCTTCAGTAATCATGCATACAAAAAAGTGCAAGCATCGACGGTTTGCACTAGGATTCAAAAGGCATGTGGAATTTGTTCCTCAACATCGACTAGGCAACCACATTGTAATATCACCCTGCCCATCTTTTCAGCTTCTCCGGCGGATCCAACCCAGCAACCTGCAAGGTGCAATCAAAGTGGAACATTTTATTTCAGACAGTGAAACCAACATTGGTCATCAAGTTAGAAAAGCGTATATATATATCGGTTGTTTATTCCCATACATGAAGATGCCATAAGAAAAAAAAAAGAAGCATTTTTTACAAGATATTTATAAAGCTAAAATGAATTTAACATACTTGGGGGACGCAGAACCAGGTCCCTTTGATGACAGATTTGGATAGTACTGAACTGAGATCAAATTGCCCTCTGTTCGTCCAGCAGACAATGGAGATCCCTTAATGTTTACAGGTGAGCTTCTTCTAGACGAAATTCCTGCATATAAACGCCAATAGAATGTGAATGCCAATACGGAAGATGAATGAAAAGTCTTGGACTTTAGGGATCTCTGTAAACAATATATGTTCAATTACAATAAGAAACAAATACGAACTGTTTTGTGAGTCTCCTTTAAACCTAAAACATGCTATTCAGAAGTAAACCCATTTATTCTTTTGGGAATAACCAAAGGAAATGTTAAAGAAAGAATTAATGAGATCCAAAAGTTGAAATTGTCAATCACAAAAAGCAAAATTGATATGCACATTTCAAGTTCACCAAAACAGTTAGGAATCGTTTAAAATCATAAAACAACAAACAAACAAGTTAAGAACTATCAAATACCAGAGATTCAATAACTATATCCTCGAGTTCAATAAAAGAAATATTACCTTGAAAGATTAGCACAAGACAGAAGAGAATGGTGAACAGCATGGCAAATGTGCCGCTATTGGAAGACGCCTTAGCAGCTTTCATCTTCTTCAACGCTTTCATTCGCTCAATCCTTGCACGTTTCCACATGGCAATTTCAGAGAGTTCCTTGATTAACTTCTGGTCTGCCGCATCCAATGATGGGCCTCGTGGAGGTCTGGGAGGTTTAGGAGGCTTTTTATTGCTCGTCTTCTTCCGCTTGTCCTTCACCCGTGTCTTCTCTACATGATCCATGCACTCATTCCCCTCCAGCACCTTGTTTGTTGCCACCTTCAAGTTATCGGGGCACACTACATTGGAGTTGGACCCATTGCCACACAAACCAATTCTATCTTCAACTTTAACCGTTCCATCCAACAGACCGCCACAAACCTTAGCAATCAATGTCTTTGCCGGTTTCTTAGCACATGAAACAGGGGTATCGCTTGAATCCTCTTCACTAACTACCACCCCACTTTCAAGATCAACTTCAAAGTCTTTTTCCCTCTGACTCTTTTGATCCATTACAACCAACCAAACTCAAGCTAATTACCAACTCCCTCCCTGGCCTTCAAATGATCAAAGCCACGTTAAACCCCTCCCAAATGGAAAAAACCAAATTTTGAATATTTGGAGTCAACCCATTAGAAGGAATGGCCTCTTTGCAATATATATTATATTCACAGGTGCAACTTGAGGACAAATATATCTAGCTTCCTCAAATAAACAGCACTTTCGAACTTAACTTGCAATTAAATCGGAGACAGCTTAATTGAATGCAATTCAACTTGTTTGACACGGCTCACCGCTTTCCCAAAGAATAATCAACCAATAAACAACAGTGCCTCCCTTCTTTTTTCCTCCCTTTCCTGTCAGTCAACAAAACCCTTCAACCATTAACAACAATACAAGCGATAACCAACACAATCCACAAAAAACCCGATTGCAATGTGCATCAAAACGTGTCGAAAATCAAGAAATTAGTCAACTTTATTCAATGTGATTGCATATTTCAGCTTACAATTGCTAAAATGTACAAATGTAACAAATTCAGAGCACGAAAAGCAATGCTAACAAACCTGATCAAACAAAACAAGAACATGAAAGAGTAAGCGAAACCCATCAAAACTAGAGCAATCAACACCCTTTAATGCGCATCGCCATGATATTTAACATTGTTTTCAAAAACCCAAAACTCAAAAATTTAAGAAATGATCTAAAAAATGCACAATTTAAAGAAAAAGAGGAAAAGGGAAAGTAGAAACCTTCAAAAGAAAGCGAAGAAGCCCCAGATCCGATGCGGAGAAAGAGCTTACAGCGAAGCTAGCGTCATATATGGAAGCTTCAAGTGCTAATTAAAGAGAGTCAGAGTGAGAAGAGAGAGAGAGGGGGGAGAGGAGAGAGAGAGGAAGAAGGGAATGGACAGGAGGGGTTTTAGGAGAATCACCGAGAAAGTGCAGGGCTTTTATATAAATAAATCAATCAATTTTTTGAATTCTGATTAAAATTGTGGCGCTATATCTTCGTCGGATAAATACCACCGCGCAAATGACTCGAATCTGATGTTTTCTTCTTCCCCTTCCTCGGCAGTTCCACCGACACTTGCATGGCATTTTTTTTTGAGTTTTTGACTTTGTTGTGGGGTTTTTTTATGAATTTAATTTGATTTAAAATCCCCTTTGGGCTTTAATTGGCCAATTAGGGTTGACCTTTGTGATTAATGGTAAACACACTTCTAATTTCTAGACGACGTGAGTGATGGTCATAGACTCATGCAAGACTACAGAAGAAGTTTTTATATTGTTGAAGTGAGTAAATGCTATACAACGTTTGCGGAATATTCTTTTGTTAGAAACTCCATTCAGTTTACGTTTATGCATAATTAGTCGTTATGATATCGTTTAACGACATAACGTATCAGGAGTACGAATATTCTTGTAATGTTAAGTTTAGGATTAAGAAGTTATGTAACTTTATCTGAAACACATCCTTAATCTTCTATTTTTTTGCCAATTCATCTTTTTAATGGTAAAATCTCAGTCATTATTTTGATTATTAGTACTAAGAGAATTTGGAGAAGATTCATAACTGTCACAATAACATAGGAGACGAGAGAGTTTCAAGTCTAGATCGCATGGATTGAAAACTCAACATGCTATTCACTAAGATATTGAACCGCATGCAATAAAATTTTAATCATTTATTTCACATTATAATTTTCTTAATACAATTATAATATTCTTAACTTTCCCTAACTAACGTGACCGTTTTAATTTGATTTTATAATATTAATTCAACTAGGTGTTTCACTTTCACATACCGCGTCAAAAATGGTGTCTGCAACTATGAAGATATAAACATTTTCTTAATGAAAATTATTTATTTTTGTGGATGACTAAGTATTATTTATTTGTTAATGAAAATTATTTATTTTTGTGGATGACTAAGTATTAATTATTTGTTAATGAAAATTATTTGTTTTAGTGGATGACTAAGTATTATTTATTTATTATACACCGACGTGCAAATGAGGTAAAAGAACGGAATACATTAATTAAGTGCACATTAAGTTATAGTAGGGGTAGCTATTAAAAAACCATTTAACACTTCAAAACAATACTCATGTCCAAAAATTTGAAAACGAGCTTAAGTTCTTCTTATTTTATTCGAGAATGACTTACCGACCCCTTAGAAAGTACGTCAACGTTGCCTTTCGAACCAATAAGCACAATGCTACTTATTTTGAGTTTTTCTTACGATGTTGTATGGTTAATTTAAAAGAATTAACGTCTCCGTTTCATATAAGTTCTTTGTGATGTTGATGATGACGAGGGCAACACTTCTTGACCGGAAAAGGTGAAAAATGGAGGAGGGAAGGAGGGAGGGGTTAGAGCATCCCCAATAAGGGGCTCTATATAAGGTTGGAAAAGTGGTGGATATAGCCCATTTTAAAGCTCCGAGGAATCTTTGAGGTTTTATAAAATAATCTCTCTCAATGAGAAGCTATATCTTTCGGGCTCTATATGGTGATATATATATATATATATATATATGTAGTAATTTGATTAAGTGATGAATCTTTTTTTTTTTTTTTTTGTTAGCTTTTCTTAAGTTGATTTTTTGATGTGCTATCGTAAATTTTATTTATTTTTTTATTTTTTTTTATGAACCCTTCAATCTAAAAAGTTCAAGGTGTGACAAAGTCAAATTTCATCACTTATGAATCGTTCGTTGGATTATATTCTTTTATATCAATCTCATCCATTGAATGAAACAAACCCCACTTCACCCTCTGAAATAATTTGATTTTCACGTATAACACAACAATTTACCTAGCACCAATTGGTAAATTGGTATCATACAATTTTGAAAAAATTTATTTGAAAATTTCACTCATCAATGCCCCATGAACGTTAAATCAATTTGAAATTTTAATTCTTATGGAATTTAAAACAATCATTAATTAGCCAAATTGCAAGAAAAATAAGTAAGAAACAAGAATTAAAATAGTAATAAAAGGAGAGTATAAATGAATTTGTATGTGGAGAGAGACTGATAGAATTTTGCTCACATGAATTGCTACTTTTTTTTTTTTGTGGGATCCATTGTTTTTGGGGTTAGATGTAGCCCGCTTTTATGCTACCCAAAAAATGAAGTTGTTAGCCCAGTGGTGAATCTAGCCCTATTTTTCGACTCATTAAAAATAAAACTTCTCACTAAGGTTGGAAATGTGGTAGTACCATAGAAGATAAAGTCCCCATCAAGAATGCTCTTGTGGGGTTGGCGTATGGCAACCATGAACCATCTGTCTCACTCACTCACTTTCACTCACCCCACAGCCCACGACCTCGAGGGATTTTTCGGTGTACCCTCACTCATAATGGTGAGGGTACACCAAAAAAATTTGGTGCACCCTCACTTTTTGTACACCAAAAAAATTCTAATGAGTGAGGGTACACCAAAAAAATTTGATGTACCCGGTACATCTAAAAATTTTCCCACGACCTCCGCGTGAATTAAAAATGGTGACATATGAATTTAATAAAATGGATTTTGAATCTTTGATGCTTCGTTGGTAGGGGGCTTCTCTGGACCCCACCCATGTTTTCTTATTTTATCATTTTATTTGGTAAATTATATGAAGTTGATTTGTTGATATAATTGAGTTTATGTCCCATCGTTTTGACATTGAGGACCCATTAGTAAAGATTTGACACGTTCATACAAGTATCGTGCTCCCCTGGTGTACGGTGCATGCATTCTTTGAGCATGTAACGAGAAAATCTTTTATATTATACTATAATTATGAGTTTAATTTTTTAAAATACAGGTCTAATTTTTGTATAATCATGAGTTTATTTTTCTTATGATATGACTAATTACGTAATGAGAGAGAAGATATTTTTTGAGACTTGATGAAGGAAGAATTGAGGAGGGGGAAATGGAAAACTTGGAAGGGGAGAAAGGGGGTCGAGATGAGTTTATTTCTCAACTTCAATTATACTTCTAAGCGTAACGGTACACAACTAATTAAGCTTATAAATTTCTCATCAATACTCAACTTTGTTCCAAAACAACTTATATATGTAGTAGTTGATAAGTTTTGTACAAGCTGCTTTTTACCAAAGTGCTTTTGTTGTAGCAGTTGATAATTTTGCAAGAAAGCACAGGTACAAATAATATATTGAGTTGGCAATACAGGACAAGTCATGCGTATTTTGGATTTGGGTCGAATGCCATAAAAACTTAAATTTGTTTTTTCATAAGGTAAGATAACTCTACAATAATCCAGCTCATTTATTGATTATTTGTTTTATTCATACAATGAGTTAGTGATACTCACGTGATTTATACAATTCGAACTTAAAACTTCAAATTTATAAGTTGAATTTAAAATCTCTCATTTGCAAGTAGAGGTAAAACAGACCGTAATGCTAGACGTTAATGTTATGTTAACAAGTCATGTAAATTTTCCAAATTCACGTAATCAAATGATGTAGCAAGTTATTTTGAGTGAAAAGGGTCCACAAGACGAAAGGCTAATTTGGGATTCTTGTGGGTTTTTTTGAAAATTGCTTCTACTGTGCTGTGAAAAGCAGTTAGATATTTGGTAAACTATAGTGCTAAAAGTGCTTTTAGTAAAAAAAAGAGACTAGAGTAGGATTGTCAATATAAAAATTTATTAATTGGTAATGTTTGCCCATCTCCAATAAAATTTTTTTTTTTTTTAAGAAGTATGGATAGATCTGTTTTTGCTTTCTGCTTTTTTAAACCACGATTTTGGAAGAATTTTTTTTTTTTTTTTTTTTTCATTTACCAAGCATAATTTTAGCCTAACTTTTTTCAAAAAGCTACTTTTAAAAGGAAATTAAACAACCCTAAATCAGATTTTAAACTAATAAAACGCTGACACGTTTATTAATATGTAAACATTTGATGTCTCTAACATTACTCTTATCCAGTTGGACTAGATTCATGATAAAAAGGTAACCCTCGTATGAACACCCGTATAAACGCCGGTCAATACATATTCCATGGCGCATGAATATATTGAGTTTGGGCCTCTCAGCCCAAGTCCAACTAGCTTGGACATATTTGTAACCTTACAGAGGAGGATGGGCCCATCCAGAAAAAAGGAGTTGGAAAACACAATTGAAAGTTTAACTGTTTGACTGTTATGACATCCTTTGACATTGGAAATTAATCAACTTCCAAACCTTGGAGAGAACTCTAACTCTAATGGAACCCAGCAGGTTTATTACACTGAAACAGAAATTCATGTCGGTCTATCGACGTAAATTTACTAAAAACAGAGTACACTACAGTTCAAGCCGAAATCTAAAAGCACTGCACAACTTGACTCAGACAAACTTGACGATAGCAGCACCGCTGGAGGGCTTGGACGCAAAAACATAGAGGCCAAGATCGTTGTTGTTGATGACGCCTCTGTCAATTCGTGACTGGTAGAAGCGTTCCTGATACACCTCAAGCGATATTTAGGTTCAGCAACTCAAACAAAATGAACAATGGAGGGAAAGCATTAAGGATGATAGAAGATGAGCAAACCTTTAAATTGAGGATAAATTGTGGGACAATACTATCTTTTACCAAAGCAACTGCACAGCCGCCCCATCCAGCTCCCGTAAGCCTTGCCCCAAGAGCACCATTCTCCCGACAAATATTTACAAGTTCTTCCAACTCCGGACAGCTGGTTCAGTGAAAAAGAATGATGGTAAAGATAAGAGTGACAAAAATTACAAGATCTTCCAACGCCGGACAATACCATGTCCCTACATTAAGCTCTTCGTGATGTGATCAATTATTATTGCGAGAGCGTCAGTAGTGTGCATACATAAATTCAAAGGAGGTCGACAATATAAATTTGTACCTGCACTCATATAACACGCTGCAGCTATAGTGGCTATCATTCATAAGATCACCAAGCCTCTTTAGCTTATCCTCATCACTGCAAAAACAGTTCCAGCGTTAGCATAAAACCTTTTATTTGTTCACACCATTAAGCGCTCACTAAGCAACCCTATATAAATTTTCATGTTTACTAAGGAGAACATATAGTTTAATTTAGTAACGATATGCCAATTCCATTCTATATCTTAAACCATATTTACTTTTACTGCACGGGTAGTGGGAAAAGAGTTCATATGAACTAAGATAGCACACCACTGGCTGGAGTAGCACACATGGTATCTCTCTGTACTTAATAAAGGGCGGTAAGTCTTGAGTTTAACCCCTGAGAGGGGTAGGAGGGGAAGGATATCCCTTTCTGGTAACCAACAGATTGCCACTTCCGCAACTATATACGCACCTTACTGTTGATGATACGGCGTCCTTGAAATCATATACCCGCTTGGCTTCAGAATACACATGGGCGGCTCTCTGGTAGACAATAGTTTTTCAACATTAAAACAAAATTTCCAAATTCAAAGAAAAAATCAACACAATTAGCAATGACACGAGATAGCTAGCAACCAAGGAAGTACCTGGGATAACTTGAAGTGCTTTGCAGCTTTCAAAACATCCAAAGAAGACGGAGAATCTCTCAAGATAGAGGGTAGACTCTCCCCAAGGATTTTCTCTATTTCCCCAGCTGTATAAGGTTCTTCTTTTAAATTCTCCTATAGCAAAGACAAAGTGTTATGTAACTGATATAGATAGGGAATTGACTAATACGAACCTAAAATGAAAACAATCAAATGCATACAACACTGAATGGCAAAATATTGGCAGGAAACGAATAAAAGTACCTTTACAGCCACGACCGGATCTGAAGACCCACGAGTACCAGCAAATGATATGCACAAGCCTTCAACATCAGAAAGAGTTTTGACACTTGAAATTGCCTCTTGCGGTTTCATCCCCAACCTTATACCAAGCACAATCTAAAAAATTTTCCAACCCCACATTGTGAGTACATAATATTTCTGACAATAAAATTACTAAACCCTTCTCAGGTTGATACCTATCCCCTGCATTAGTAGCTCGGAAATTGGATTTAGGATTCGAAACTTACAGCAGCCAGGCGACACTCAACAACTCGGTTATTGTAATTTGTGGCAGCAGTTACTGCTTTCTGAGAATCTGCCAAAGAATGGGCCACAACAAAAGTTCCACCAGCCGGAAGTTGCACATCAGTAGCACGAATTGGGTTGAAATCAATTAGTTCTGCAAACCCAGGCTTGGCCATCACCGAGATTGCCTGGAATTTAAACCAATATCAGGACAAACAGGCAGTTGGCTATCAAACTCAAATTAATCAAGAATGAGAAAATAATCGGACCTGATCCATTCCACCAGATTGTGTGCCAATGTGTCGCTCACACTCACACGTAAGTTGTGCAATTTCTTTCTGCTCACAAGAAAGAATGTCAGCATTTGAAGCTTATTTATACAATCTGTAGATCACCGGAACACAGACAGATATTATACCTTGGGGAAATTCAAACCAAAAGCGGCCATTATCGCAATTGTAGAAGCACAAACTAATGCAGCAGAGCTAGATAGTCCAGAGCCTAAACGAAACAACGAAAAAATCAATAAGTACCGTCTCGGATTTTACTCCACCATATGATAAACTAGTTGCCTCTGTACTTATAAATTGTTAATACCAAACTAATTAACCTTAAAATTGACAACATTAAGGTTGTTTTATTTGATATTAATTGGTGGGAACTACACCTGTAGGAACTGTTCCATCAATAAGAACATCAAGTCCAACTGGTCCAACATTTTCTCCCTTGGATTTGGCAAACTCATAAAAACCTTTGTACCTGAACAACAACATAATCCATCACTTTCTGCCGTACATCAGAAATCCATAGTTTTAACGTTTGACTATCCAAATGTTTCATCATCAAACAAAAAGAAACAAAAAAATCTAAAATTTAGTCAACATACAGATCAAGGCATGGATTTTTATGTCTTACCCACAAATGAAATAATGCCCCCATTTGTGATTCTTCAAGTCAATTTCCTTCAACCAAAAAAAAAGTCAAAAAACTTTGACCGAAATTGAACTCCGACAGCAACTCGATAACGTTGTAGTTAAACGAATGATGATCAAGTCAAACAATTTCGTACCTGGGTCGGGTCGGCGGGGTAAGTACAAATTTGGTACTTGTCGTTGACATTGGCAATTCTGAGAACTTTCTCGGCGTCTCCGTCGTCGTGCTTCCGAATTGCGACAATGGTGTCCTGTCGTATGGCCATCGGCAGCACCGAGTAGCCCTCGTAGTCTATGTGCTCTCCGACCAAGTTCACCCTCCCTGTCCAATCAGAAATTCAAACACGAGCACAAAATCGAAACTTGAAAAATCCCACAGAGAGAGAGAGAGAGAGAGAGAGAGACCCACCTGGAGAGCGAGCGAAGAGTTGAGGGGGGTGACCGAAAACCTGCTGGAACTTGGAGTTCAGGCGGTTGAATCGGAGCTGGGCCTCGTCGAGTTGGGAGGAGTTGCCGTAGACGGCGTCGAGGGTGTCGTGGATTGGGATCGGAAGTTCTTCGTGTTTTGCCATTTGTGCCATCTGCTGGATTAACTGAACCCTCTGCAACTACTTAAAAGAAAACTCAAAGCCCCCGTGACGGTGACGGTGACGCAAGCGAACAAAATCTGATCTTCTTCAATTATTGTCGAATCCTAAATAATTAGACAATAATTTAGGCCACTGTTTCGATAAAGAAATTAGAAGAGTCGGAGGAGAGAGTCATAGAAATTAAACAGCAAATTAAAGAAGAACATATATATATTTTTTACGAGAATTAAGAAAGGCGAACATCCTAGTAAGATTAAGATTCCGATAAACCTGTTTTTATCTACTTTCTATCCACTTCGTTTTTACCTTTATAACGGATTTTACAGCGGGAATCCGAGACCTGGTAGGTAGTTACGTTCGACGTTGGATAATTCGAATTCAGATATAGGAGTGTGCGTTGTCGTTTTGGATTGGTTTGCTCCTTTTCTGAATTTATTTAGGAATTTTTTTATATTTTATTTTGCAGTTACAGTACGTGGGTCAAGTGTAACTGCAGCCGGTATGCTTTGTGGGCGGCGAGGCACGGGCCGTGCGGTGGCGCGGAGGAGTGGCGGGTAAAAAACAACCGTGATGATAATAATTAAGGGAAGTTTAATGAAAAATTATATTTTTACATTAAAATGTCAATCCGGTATTATTTATTTTATCCTTTATTTTGTCTTTATCGTTAAAACTCAAAGTTTTTAAATCATTTTCATTAATTTTTCTAATAATTAAACATAAATATAGTTGGTGATAGTATTTACATGGAACTAATGAATTATCTAATTCGTCAAGTTAAATGAATATGATAATATAGTCTTTTAAACCCGACCCATTTCGATCCCATTCCGAGTTAGATGTTTATCTACTATTGTTAAACAAGTTAAATCCAATAATCTGTATACGATCTCAAGTTAATTTGTTTACAAAGTTGCAAGTCTGCAAGTTAGCTAAATGCATTTGATAAGAGTAAGTTATCTCTAACTGGATAAATTGTTGATAACGCTTTTATTACATTAATCATATTAATCTTTTTTTTAGTACAATCGACGTGCAACACAAAATTTATTTAAACTACAAGGTGAGATGAAAGAGGAATTTGAGCTTGAATGCATAAAATGACGGATAACACACTACCCTACTTAACTTGACTAAATTTATGTGCACTAATCCAATCATGTAGTGGCCAGAAGCTAAGGAGAATAAATTCTAAAGTTTTCTATTTTTCATGAGGTTGGGTGGTGGACCTGGTGGTCTAGTTCATACACCTTCGCTTTCATGATATTCCAGAATACATAAGTACAGGCTGACGCGACCGTTAGTAGGTCAAGACTTAAGAGTACTAGTAATAACTAGTAAGCTTCTCTTTTGTTTGCCCGACTCTTTTTTTACTTGGTAATTAAAAGTAAGGGTGGAAAAAAATACCAAAAATCCCAAATCATAATGAAACCGAACCAAAAAAAGCCCGAACCAAAAATTCTGAAAATTTTAGTACCGAAACCAAACTGATCTTGAGTTATTCAGTATGGGATTCGGTCTCACATCTTAACACCATTCGATATCCAAGTCCCGAACCAAACTTTAATAAATATCTATAATGGCGCAAAAAAGCACTTAAGCACATGATGTGTGCAAAAAACCCATGTCTCGAATCGAACTTTAATATTTATTATCTCTACTAATTAATAAAACACTCATTGTCAACCAAAATCTTATGAAATTACCAGTTTAACCTTTTAATTAAAACATAATATGAATAAAAAATATGGAGCATAAATGTAATTTCACACAACCAAATTTTGCTTTTTTTTTTTTTTCAAAGCCTCACTTATCCTAATATATCTCTAATTATAAAAAATAAATAAAATAAAATAAAATAAAATAAAACTTCCCACTCCCATATTTTCTATCACTCTCATCCTCGCTCCTTCTATTTTAAAAACAAAAATAAAATTTTTTCTCACACACACTGTGTGTGCCCATATGCTAGTATATTATTAAAATAAGCAAAGTGTGCAGAAAAGCACATGATGTGTTGTGTGCTGTCTAAATTTCTATCAAGCAAACTGCAAACATATAAAGAATAGCCTATTATATAATATTAAAATAAGTAGAGTGTGCAGAAAAGCACATGGGTGCTATCTAAAGAGTCAAACTCTTTAGACAAAGTCTCTCCTATCTCACTCTCTCCCATCTCTGCCTTCGCCAAAGTCTTAGACTCTTTCTGTTTCTCCTCTCGAATTCAAAGCTGAAGGGCCACCCATCAACCCATCATCTCACAATTTGACTCTGACCAACTTTCTCCACTCTGGCCACCTCTACACCTCACTACTTCATCCTCACCTCCGATTCTCTCCAGCAATTCTCCGTATGTGTGGGGTTTCAAATTAAGGTTAGGGTTTCAAATTGGGGCTTAGGGTTTCAAATTGGGAGCTCGGGTCAGGAGGAAGACGAAGGTCTGACTATCTCTTCACTCTGTCTCTTTCCCGACCTTTAATCTTCAACAATTCACTCACAGTCTCTGATTTTAAATTGCGGTTTTAATGCAGGTTCAGATGAGTTCAAGTTCGGTTTCGGGAAATCCCGAAATACTGAGAATATTTCGGAAATATCCAAAATTTGGTTTGGGATTCGTCGTCAAATTTTCGTCCCGAAAATAGTCGGTTTGGGACTTGATATGCCCTTTTTGGTTTGGTATCTCATACCAAACCAGCCGTAATTAAAAGTTTAGAAGGAAATTAGTTACTCTCACCACTAACTCTGCAATATCCAGCTGGAATGATTAATGCGTTGCACCTAACTGTCAGCTGCCACATGTATGAATTTACGTAAAAATTTATAGATTCCGTGTAACAACCCGTCCCGATATTTTATTTTCAGGTTTTTGGAATGAGGGTACTTTCATAAATGTTCACTTTGGGTTAGATATTTTGTTTTGAAAAGTGCTGTTGGGTCTTAATTTGTGTGCCTTGTAGGGCCACTTCTTTTGGGTTTGTTCCCCCCAGCCTAACTCTCCTCCTCCTTTCCCTTCCCTGTAACCTCCCTTATCTATTTCTTCTCTCACAACTCTCTCTCCCCCCTCGCTGTACCATTTTCTTATTCTCTCTTAGTACCTTACTACCCACCCTCGTAGCTCCAGCGATCACTTCTACCTTTACGAACCTCCCCCATCGATTGACGTGGAACTCACAACTCCAAGCTCATAGAGGTCTCTCTTTCTCTTCACAATGGCACTACCACTGTTCAAAGGATCCTCTGGCGAGTTCTCGCCATTTTTGTTGTAGGTAAGTCCTTAAAATCCTCTTAATCGAGTTTAGAGTCGTGTTCGAGACGTTTTGAGGAGTTTTTATCAACTTTGGACGCAGTTGTAGCGCTGTGGAGATTTACCCAGATTCTGATGAGGAAACCGAGGCTTTTCGACCATTTTTCGGCCAACCTCGGCCACGGCAGGCGACAAGAAAGGTATATTTCGACTCCTTATTTTCCAGGCTTCAATTTGGTATATTGAATTGCATGTTTGGTTGAGTATTAAGCTTGATCGGAGCTCAAGAATTCTTGGCTAAAATCCGGTTTTCTTCTTCGTGGAGTTTGGTTGACCCACGATCTAGAACGGGTCAAACCCGACCCGTCATCAAGAACTGACCTAAACCTTTGGGCCTTATAATCAGACCCAATCCAAAACGAAGCCCAAGCCCTAAACCCATTATCTGGCCCAAACCTCTTTAACTCTATAACTAGGCCCATGTCCATAACCTATTAACCTAGCCCAGAAATCTAAAACCCAAACCTAATACTAGGCCCAATACACCAACTTATGACCTAGAAACTACGGGTGGGCACGGTTTGGTTCGGCCCGGTTTCACCCTCAAAATGGAACCAGAACTAGAAAATTTCAACGGTTCGATTTGATGAGGTTCTGCTTAAATTTATTACTAAAACCATACAGTTCGGTTCATGATGGTTCCGGTTCGGTTCATGCCGGTTTACGGTTCTAACCAAAATTATATATATGTTTTTTCTAATTTTCTACTTTAAATACCAAACACATATTTCAACCACAAATTCAAGTAAATTTGAGTTTCCACTACTAGATCTACAAGATTTGTGACCGGAGGATAAAAGGTGTGCATATAAATATAAATCAAAAGATAGAAAGGCTCATATCAAGACCAAAACGTAGATCTTAAACTAAAACTAAAATGTACATAATGCATAATATATTGGAAAAGAATAGAGAAAAATAATATAGGGGGAGAAAAGTGATAAAACAAGAAAGGAGGGGGATAAAAGTGAAGAAAAATATTGGGCTTATGCGCATGGTCTTTTTGGAAAAATGTCTTATTTATATAAAAATAATAATAAAACAATAATTTATATTAAAAGCAGTTCGGTCTCGTTCCTCCAATTCATAATATTTCCAAAATGGAACTGGAATCGTTTGAAACAGTTCAGTTCGGTTTTTGTTCTGGTTTTGACTTTTTTGGTCAACGCGGTTTTTTACAGGTTTTTTTTGTTACAGTTTGATTTGGTTTTTCAGTTTGGCCGTTTTTATGCCTACCCCTACTAGAAACCCAAAACCCTTTAGCCTAGGCCTAAACCTTTGGGCCTGGCAGCCCATTAGTCTAGGCCCAAAAACCCCAGGCTCGTTGACTCTGCCCAAACCTATCGACCCGGTTGACCCGACCCGTTTGACCGTTGACTTCCAGTCAACACTGACTATTGACTTCCAGTCAACGCTGACCATTGATCGGACCGGTCAACATTGACTTTTGTTGACTTCTTTGGGTTTCGGTCCCTTTTAGGCAAATTTCGATGTCCTGGATCCGTTTCCGACGTCCGTTTTTCCAAATTCAATTGTTATGATAGTGTTTTATTAATTGGTATCTTTATGTGCTTAGGTGCAATTGTGTATGGCATTTCCGTCATTTCTTGTTTGCACGGCTCTTTGCCAACGGTGTAAGGTGAGTGAACCCTTTCCAAAATGCATATTTTACTATTAGAAATGCATATATGAAAAGCATGATTTTATGATTACGTTTTATGCAACGTTTATGAGTGAATTGGTTACCATGCTTTATCAATATCATGCTTTACCGACCTTACGTTCCTTGTGGTATATATGATGGATGACTATATACATACTTGTGAACGTGGTTTTATGATATGACGTTTTAGCTACTGAACTCCGATTAAGATAGTTATATATATATATATATATATATATATATATATATATTAGAAATATTATATGAATGTTCTTATGTACTTACTTAGTGGTTATTCGAATGGTCCTACCTACGAGCGTATGTTCTGCCTGCGGGCGTATGTTCTACCTACAGGCGAATGATATCTATATATTGGCTTCGGTTGGGTGATGTAGCGGCCTACGGGTCAATTGACATTTATATTAGCTACGGCCGGGCGTTTGGTTGGTGCCTATGAACGGAAGATACTTATATTGGCTTCGGTCGGGAGATGTAGTGCCTACGGGCAAATGATACTACCTACGGACGAATGATTTGCCTATGTGGGCGTGATGTAGAACCTTCGGATGAAGGAAGAAGTGTTCTATATGCCTTCGGGCGAATGAAATATTATTATATGCCTTATATATACCATTACTAAACACACTATATATAATATATGTTTTACAAAAGTTTTATGGCATGCTAGGGTGTTTGGAAAACCTATTACATATTATACTATTGAGTTTTCGTAAACTTTGGGGGTTAATACGTAGTTGAATAACTGTTTTAGTATTACTATATATCAACTTGGTCCACTCATGTTTTGTTTTGCGGTCAGGACTTAAAATCGAGACGTACAATTTCGGCGTCAAAGCACTCCTGCATCGGCATCTTCGAGTCCTCTCGGTGTAGGACCTATCTCTTTGTTCATTCAATGTTATATTATTTCCTTTCTAGTGTCTCGTTTTAGTTGTATGCTCTGAACACGTTCCTTAATTGCATAAGCATTGTATTTAAATTTATAAGTTTTATTTATGTTCATTACTTCACATGCATGTTAGTATGGCATCGTCACCTTTAGGTGTCGGCTCGCACGTGCCTACCCCAGGTATTTGGAGAATATCGGGGTTGGGTGTGTCATTCTGCACTAACAAAACTGCTGGCAGTAGATCAAATTACTAAGTTTACGATTCATCATCCATCCAAACACGTAGATCAAATTACTTTAATCTTCATCGATGCCCGTCCAGAGTGATATCGTCCAATCCCTTTTGGTAACTAGTGAGTTAATACTTAACGCGAAGTATCACTAAAGTGCAAATCTGCCAACTTATTCATCTTCATCTTCATCATCCTCATCCATCATGGCTTTGCCCCTCCAATTTTGTCCTTCAAACCAGTGCTTAAGACCACAGTTTCTCTCCATGTTCTCCCTTCTGTGTTCCTCTTCTAAACGTTGCTTCTCTGCCGGTCTCTTGTCCACATCAACCCTACAAAAGCAACAAGAAGCAGAAAATTGTGAAGACTAGATCAATTATACACATCCCTATTCAGTAGCATTTCAATATATATAGGTCTGTTGGAATTCAGGCATTACTTATGGCTTTCCATGTACTCTTCAGGACTTGCTTCAACGGATTAATTAAAGAAATCTTCATTCCAGCACCAGAAACCGCAGACACTCCAACAGGCCGCAAGTTTTTATAGAATTCATCCAACACAAGGGATAGGATCTGAGCTAAATTTGAAGAGTATGAATTATATATCTCTACTCACTGTTGCTTGAAATGTCTCAAAATCTTCCATCCACTGCATAAACAGCTGTTTTCAAGACAACGGATATAAAAGAATAACCGCAAAGTGCGTATTACATATATGAGTTAACAGTGAAAAGGGGAAAATTATAAAACTCAAGAGAAGGGTAAAAATGTTGCATTTTGAGTCCATGACCGTAATTTAGATGATCACAATCAATATGGTTAGGAAGTATATTCAACGACGTGTGTGTTTGTTTGGAACATCAGTTTGTATGTGTGTGAATGCATATCTAAAATGCGTGTGTGCAACGTCAATCTTGTTGAATGCAAACCAATATTTTAAGGGACAAAGGCGTAGGTGAGACATGTTTTAGATATCCTTGCTTAGGCGAAAGCCTTCAGACATGAGGCAAAGTCTTACATGATCTAAATTTTTTAATATTTAATATATACTATATGTGTGTGTATTATATGGTACTTTAAATATCCTTTGTTATTCAAAATTGCACAAGAAAAACAATTTTAACTCGCAAACATACAAACAAAAAGGAAATCACTCATCTAAATGTGGTCCACATACATCAGAAAATAATAAAACGATAATCCCCCGTTAATATCCACTCATTTTACAACATTAATATGGTCCATATACATCCCCCATCCATTCTTTTTCCATCCATGCACTCTCACTTTCCCTCTTCTCTCTCTCACTAATATCTATTAATTTGAACATTAATATAGTCAACATACATCCCCACCCATTCTCTCTCTCTCTCCCTCACTAAAACATTAAAATAGTCAACATACATCCCCACCCACTCTCTTTCACTCGGTACACTCTCCCTCACTTTCTCACTTCTCTCTCACTCTCCCTCACTCTCACTTTCCTTTTTGTTGCGTGGTGGCAGCCCTGCTCAATTGGTAGTGTTGTGCGAAGAAGAGAAATGAGGGTTTTAGTGTTTCACACAGAAGAAGAAGAATGTGGGGTTGTCGAGGACTTGAGTGTCGAATAAAGAAGGTTGTGGAGAAATTTTATATAAAAAAAGGCCTATAATGACCTAAGGCACGTCTCAACCGCCTAGGTGCGTATCGGCTACGTTTAAATGTTTCGCCTTCTACCACGGAGCAGAGGCGTTTTCACCCCAGCTCCACCTCCAAAGCCACCTAGGCGTGCCTTGGGGCGTGTTTTTTAAAACATTGCAAACACAAGAGGCAACCATGTCTTGTAAAGAATACCACAAGCATACACCATATTACTCATGAAAGTACCTGGGCTACCGAACGAGGTGTATGTACGACGTAAGCGATTACACTAGGAAATGTGGATGCAGATGCTTCTGTGATGATAGCACCAGAGACGGATCAAGAGATATAATAACAACCATTTCAATCATCAATGAAATGAATCAAGTAGAACAACCACATTGCTACAATAAACAAAGAAAACCGGATTAAATTCAATGAAATTACCTGCCATGTCCACAACAAATATAATAACAGGTTTTCTCTTGAAATTTGTCCCGGACTACCTTGACGATTATTCCTCAACTTGCAGTTTCTTCATCGAGTTAGTAAGTTCGTAGTCTTCTTTGCCCTTATTCTTCAGAACAAAATCAATCAAATCCCAACGAATCAAACAAGTTATAGAACAACGATTCAATACAAAAACTTTAATTAAAAAAAACCCCAAATAAGTTTGTAAAGATGGATTGTGACTTTGAATTAGTGACTCATGTTTTTAAAGATTCTCCTAAGAGCATCTCCAACAATGAAGTTCAATTTTTACTAAAACAGCTTATGATTACAAAAGTTAAAATAGCTAGCTAATTTTATTTTATTTTTAATATAGGAAAATTCCATCACACATTAATAACAGACTGATTTCACTTTTTATGTGATTCACTACCACATGAAGCGATAGCATACTTTTTGACCTCCAAATCAAACAGTGTGGGATAATCTTTTAGGAATTTCAGTCTTTTAATCCCAACGGTCATCACTCATGTATTTCAAGCCACGCTCACACATCTAATAAATCCACCATACCCTTCGAGATGAAAATGTGATCATTGTTGTTCTTTTTGTGTCCTTTGACAGAGCAATACACATTTTCCGAAATGCAACCCCCCTTTTTTTATTGTCGTTACATCCAAATAAGTTTGCGCAAAAAGGAGGAAAAATTGAGATGTAATTACATAGGAACAGGGAGTTTTCTAATTTATGCGTGTACGGGAGATTTCACATGCATCTATATATATATGCATATACTGAAGAATGATAAGATAAAACGGCAGCTTCGCAAACGAACGAGAATCAAATTTAGAATATAAAGCCAGAACAAATTATTGATTATCAAGGTAACATGATTTTTGTTAATATATCAAAGCAAAAGCCTAGCAATTGCTGCAGCTATACTGCTAAGGTCATGGACAACTTTGTTCTTATCGGTCAGAGGAGATTTGCTGGAAAACTCCTTTTCACATGCTTCAGCCGCATCGGCAGCGTCGTTCATGCCTTGCTCTGCAAACTTAGGGTTACCCAACTTAAAACCTTGACTGGCTTCTGGGACATCAGCAACTAGAATTGTACGGTAAAAGGTAGTGCAAGTTTTTAAACGTTGGTCACTAGGGCTTTGCTTAAGCAGCTCGTTGATTCTGCTCGCCGTGCCAGTTGCTTTATCCTTGGCTATGTCAACCGTTATGAACCCTAAGCCGGCCACGTCCGCTTTCCCACTTCGAAGGTCCGATTTGAGAGAAGAGACGCAGAGATTGTAGTTTGGTGTTTTTTTGCAGGTTTGATCGATTAGATTGGCATCCATTGGAAAGATCACAGCCCTTCTGCAATGGCTTAGGGGAAGAAACACTAGCAATAGACAAACTAGTTGGATGAGACATGCTGAGTACCTCATTTTTCGCAAGACAAATTGTTTTGAGAAGTTTGTTGATGCTTATGTAAGAGTTGATGATGTTGAGAAACTGAAAGGTGTGCATATATGCTACTGTGTGACCTCATTTAGATAAGATTGTCCAGAGTTTAATTTGGATGCTCATCTCTAACTCAATCCTAGGCCGTTTGATTCGCATAAAGGAATTGATGAGAAATCAAGTGCGGAATTTGGTCAATGGTGTAAATGACAAGTGACCTCATTAAAACAAGGGGTGTGCTATCCACACACCTCATTTTATTTCTCACATATTCCTAGATAATTTCTGTTCGTTAATCTTTTTCAATTCATCTGATCCGACGGCCAAAAATTAAAATGGTATGTGAGAAGTAAAATGAGGTGTGTGGATATCACACCCCTAAAACAATTAATGGTAAATTAATATACATCAAAGTTGTTATATAAGCATGGCTAGGAAGCCTTCAAGGGAAGGGATCCCATTTTTTCATAAAAATGAGGATTAGTTGTAAGATCCACACGACATCGAATTTTAATGATTCGAACTATCTATGTTTCAAGTTGTGCACCTTATAGATCATTTTTGCAAAATATTAGCTAAATCGAAAATATTTAAGCTATCTACTTGGGTTCAAAAAAATAATGAATATTTTGTTATATAATAAACAATGAAATTTTATCTTGATAATTAAATAGGCAAATGATTTTGGATTGAATTGAATTTTTGTAAGGATGATCTATGAATCAATACTTACAAACTAAACGATTCGGATCGTTAAAGTTCGATATGGAGTGAGCCCCACACCTAGTTCCTATTTTTTCCAAAAAATAGGAATCCCTTTGCATAAATTACTTAGCATGGCTATTTATCTTTGAATTTAATACTAAGAGTTAATATTAAAATATTAAAGTGCATTAATTCATTTTTCGTCTGTAGTATCATATGGATCATATCAAATTTAATGGTAGATGATCATACATGATTTGTGTTAAAAGGGAATAAGTCGCAAATGTATACCAATAGTCGTCAACCATGTATACTATCACTTAATATATACTACAATCTAGTAAGGTTTTTTAGCTAAAATGGTTCCTGAGATTTGCATAACACATCACTTTGGTC